GCGCTGTTTTCGCTCCACAATGTAGTGCTGCGCCATGACATTCCCGGGAGCAGTCGCGGGACGGTCAGTGAGAGCTATCCTCACTTGATCTTTGAGGGTTTTTCTACGCCGTTGGGTAAGAGGGTTGTGCAGATCTTGAAGCACTTGTTCCCTCCCAGAGAAGCGGGGCGCATGAAGGAAGGGAGCAGAGTTGTTACATTTGCCCTCACTGAGGGCGACTATATCAGTTTGAGGCATCACGTGTATGTCAAGACTGGATACAACTCTGTGGAGCTCGCTGAGGTCGGACCAAGAATGGAGATGAAGCTGTTTGAGCTCAGGCTGGGAACAGTAGATAACAAGGATGCGGACTACGAGTGGAGATTGGCGAACTACACGCGGACGGCGAGGAAGAGGGATTTGTTGTAAGGAGGGCTTCGATCTACTACTTCTTTTTCGGTCTTGGAGTTTTTTGCAATGGTTTTTTTGTCCTTTTTTCTTTTTCTTTTTCTGTTACCAAGTGAGATGGGACGGGGTGTAATAAAATTGTGGGGATGAACGATTGTCTATATTATATTCATGAGGATTTACTTGGATCTACTTGCTCTGACCACGGAATACTGTGCACATAGTGATTCAAATGAAACGATGTTAGTGAAATCTAGAACATATTCCCAAGCTAACCAGTCCGTTCTTTGGTCCAGCTTGTATTGACAAGATACAAGTCCGGTACTGACAAAGGACTCACCAACCCACGGATTTATCTGGCCCCTGCGGTTGGCAAGCACCAAGTAAGTTTTGGGGAGTAAAACCATCGTGTTCTCTGGACACGTGGGATCTTCGTTGGGAGCTGAGTAGCTGCCTGTGTAGCTCCTTGCCTCTCGCGCTCTCCGCAAGAGAAGACGTCTTTATAATGCAATTAACTTCAATCCCCGTCAGAGAGGTCGAGCTCAACATAATCCGAACCCTCCAGATCTTAGCCTGCTCCATACTCTACCAAGTAAGCTACTCAAATCACTAAACTCCAAGTCCTACTGCTAGTAGCGAATCACAAGTGATCATTCACATGTTTTGAAGACGAATCGATCTCAGGCCCTAGCCTTGTCAAAAGCGCTACTTATCCAGCTTAAATCACATGCACAAGAATTTGTTAGTAGAACCTATAAATACTTTTGGCTCCCACAGAAAAGGGTCAGCATTTTTCGGCAGTCTAAAGAGTTTAGGGATCGAAGACAAAAATCACATTCCAACCAGCTAGCAAAATGTGACGTTGGATGAGCATGTTAGGGTTGGGGGTTACTGGGAGTGATGGTGGAGTATTTAAAGGAGCAAAGCTAGCTGCTAATCCACGACCACACACTTACCAGCACAATGCCACATCGTCGACTTCTCGTCACAACTCTCGACCCCACAGATAATGGATTACCGATGCTTCAGCGCAGGCATCATGATATTCATCCTCTTCATCCATAATTAAAAAATCTAAGAATGATCTTCTTTCTTTCTTTCCTGGTGGATCACCAACGCTCACTACACGTGCTGGACCTATTTTCCCAGCGTCGCAGATGGAGGCTTCTGAAAGGAATTATCATCACCCAAATAATATTCTCCTAAGCGTTCCTATCATTTAGTCTTTCTGGAACCCGAGACTTCCCCCAATAAAAGGAATGGCCGAATACGCGTTTCAGCACATCTAGCACCAGAGGTACTTTCAGGGCATGGGCTACGGAATTTTGATACTCCCGTCACAGTTACGGGCTTTCAATTAACTTACATACACCATCTCATCCATGGGGACTACGAATAACTGTGGTTCATTGGACGAGTGATCAACCATGATTCAATGCTCTGTTAAGAGGTCTTTCCAAGAAAAAGGCAACTCACACTACGACTCTCTCGATCAAGCAGAGTACAGGCGTATGGGATCATAGTTTCATGCAGCCTAAATATAAAGGAATTCAAAGAAGATTGGGAAAAGAGATTATCAATACCAAACCCACTCTTAATCAACCGATCATTCGGTGATTACATTACAACCAAGCTTTCTCCCATGGACGCTTACACCGGAAATTACACCACACTACAGTCCCTTGAGCCAAATAAAGTGGGGATGACCTAGATACTACTAATGAATTTCTAACCATGACTTAGAGCGAATTTTACCCCATATATGGAATCACACCGGTACACAACGATGCCGCTTATGGGGAAAGAAGGCCCCAAGAGTATATACATGGGAGTACTATTTCCTCCTCATAATTACGGTTACTATTTATAATTAACTGTCTTCAGAGAAATCTAAACGATTCATAGAACTACATAGCGCGTGCTTGGAGGGCAAAGCTCGATGAGTTCAGATTTACTTAAAATTAAACCAGAGTCCTACCGTTAGGAATCATGGGCTATCATACTCAGTCATAGGCAGTTTTTTTTCAAAAAAAAAACTTCAGCTCAACGGGGTAGGTAATTGAGTGATATCCGCGAGGAGATAGCATAAGAACTACGAGGAGGGCAGAAGAAAGACAAATCTAACGCAACTCGGCCCCTCCTGGTTCTTAGGCAGGAGCTTAAGGATGAAGAAGTATGGACCACTCGTTTCACAAACCCAGTACGACCACCATGATAAAGTTCACTGCGCATGAATGTTTCTACGCAAATATGTCCAAGCATGGGAACAATACCATTAGGCACATGAATATCCTTTCAAACAGTATATCAGCACTAACAGGGAGAACATTCTACTCAAAGATTAATAACACCGCTTGCCAAGTTATATGAGCAAGAAGAAAGGCCAGCACCCTGCTGTAGTAGGTATATATGGGGTTCAAGTGGAGAGTTGGAATGAAGGAGAGAGCTAAGTTAGCTTAGCGCCGTTCATTGAGATTAGCCCTTAGGCCTTACCCGGGAGATATTTGAAATGACTCAGCACACATCATGGGAGATATGTTTTTATAATCTGCCCTAGGAGGAATTTCCCCAACAGTTGGGTTGGCCATATAAGCGTGTATCTCCATGGTGCTTTACGGGCTGTATATTTCTAGAATGCTTCAATCCGTAGGACAACGTTCCCCGGTGATGTCTGCTACACAGGATATCTTTAGAACAAATATCTAGACTCCGTACGGTATTTGTATTTTGGCTAGCCACCATTGAAGGAATTAACGTCACCGGTATAGAGGATTGGGACTTGAAGGACGCCCGGGCACCATTGGTCGGGTGAATTCTAAGTTTGTTTGAAACCCTATCAGAAGACTAGAAATTACCATATCCAACGATAATTACCTCCTGATACATATAATGACGGATCTTTATTGCTACGCGAGTATATATCTAAAGACGAGCGACACATGCACAATAGATGCGAGAGCGGATCATGACATATCACTCGTCCAAAATCCCACCTTCCTGCTCTGGCTATATTAGTTATAATTGTTTCGGGTAGCTTTAAATGTGAGTAGAAAGATAGAGACTCTAGGATTTCATTGCATCTGCGGCTGGCGACCAATGGAAGGTTTAAAAAAGCAAAAGCCAGAAAGATTCAGATCAGGGTGAATCCATCACTTCTCTGTGGATCTGAACCGCCTGGTTAGTAATCTACTGATTAGCTACAGAACGCGAATAATTGGGACCGGGTTTAGCTAGAAATACATCATCAATGCCTTGCTATCGTGACTGGGAAGAAAGTTGTTATTCAGATGGCCATTGGGGGTAGGCTGTTTCCTACAATGCATGTGCGCCAAGTAGGAATTATTTTCCCGTGCTGCACTCTGGTGGGAGCACGTTCACTCTGGCCGATATGGGATGCCTGAGACTCATGAGATCTCACTCGTTTGCTATGCTCGGCTAATGGTGCCAGCCAGGTACATGTATGTAAGTAGAGCACCGGTCGGTACATAACATACATGTGAAGCAGAATGCCGACACAACCATCGTTTTGAAATGTTGCGTGGAACCATGCGATGCGGGCCTGGTTGTGAAAAATTTCGCATCGCTTAGAATGTGAGAGTCCATATCACATTCAAATTCAATTGAGCTTTCCCATCACGATTGAGAAATCTATCGCTACATGCACTCAAACTATGTAGACCATCATCCAAGCCCGGGCAAGGAATTGATAAATAGCATGAGGCTATACTTAAAACGCCGGCTATACAGGCCTTCTACTCGTTCGATCTGGATTCATCCTTTCATATTGTACCATACATACGTAACTTCCTACACGAGTAGATTAAAGAGAGGGATTTTCACCTGGGCAGACAGACGGGCAGACAGAGGACAGAGATAGGACAGAGACAGGCAGGCAGACAGACAATATGTATGCGGACCATCATCCCTCGATTCGTTTGACATACGATTACATAAACAAAAGCCCGTCTGTGATGAATTGAATGCAGCAAGTCAGCAGCAGCAGCAGCAGCCAGCCTGGCCCAACCAACCACCGTCCACCATCATCCTCGCACCCCCCCCAAACCCCAGCCCAACCTCTTTCTTTCCTCTCATCCTCACCCAGTGAGTGAGTGAGCCAGTGAGCGAACGAACGAACGGAAGCACGAGAAAGAGAGACAGCCAGCCCAGCCCAGCCCAGCCCACAGTGTGGAGTTCAGGCAGCTCACCCACACGTCCTCGACCAATCCACTCGCATCTCCGGCCCCTCAGGAAGGAAAGACCCACGTAGGTCGTTCATTGTTGTGGATATTGCACACACCTTACCCAACTTACCCATCCACCACCCACTCACTCCAGCTAGAGCAGATACCGACATACAGCAAGCATACAGAAAAGATAGACAGACATACAGCAGCATACAGACAGACTAACTAACGTGCCTAGAGTTCGGTACATACAGCAGACGGACCGACAGACAGACAGACATTCTCACACACATCAAACACCGCCATCGATCCCGCCCAATCCGCACTCAGTGCACCACCCTCCTCTGCCACCCTCCACCACCACCACCACCCCCCTCCACAATCATCCCCCCCTCCCTCCCACCCCCAGGGACCCCTACCTAGCCCCAAATGTACGATTCCGCACGGGACTGCTTCACCGAGCAACAGGTTGCAGAGCAAAAAGCACTTGCAGCCGAAGCCGCAACCCGAGCCGACAAGGAGCGAGAGCCCCGCCGCCGCATCAGTACCGTGGGCGACCTCCTGAGCCCCGTTGACGATGCCTCCTCTCCCCCAACCACGACACCAACTCTGAGCAAGCCCCCCTCCTCCTCCTCACCAACAACAACAACACCAGCCAAAATGCCCGACTCGCAGTCTTCTCATCCACTGAAGCGGAAAGAACGAGAACGCGGCGGGACCCCCCCCAGAGCCCGCGAAGACGACACAAAACGCCGGCGAGGAAACTCCCCGCACCACGACGACCGCCGAAGACGCCACGACCGTGGCCGCGACGACGACCATGGCGGGAAACGCAGGCGTGCTGGGGGCGGCGGCTCCGGATCGTCCCCCAGAGAGCGCAACATATATGCCCCCCGCCGGCGGTCACGCTCCCGGTCTCCCCGTGGCGACAGACAGCCGTATCAGCGTCGTCCGGTCTCCCCCGGTGGACGGTACCGATACCGCTCGCCCCCACCGCCATTGATCCCCCGGCGTGACCCCTCGCCCTCGCTTCCCTCAACGCGCGATACCTCCCCCCCGCGCCAGCGAAAACGCCCCGGCCAGAGCGCCCGCCTGACAGAAGCCGAACGCGAGGCCCACCGCGCCGCGATCGCGAAACGCGAAGCCGAGGCCGCCCGCCTAGCAAAAGAGAGCGTGCAGGCCCGCGGCGTCAACGAGATCGTCAAAGCGCACTACAACGACAAGCGCGAGCTCGGCAAGACCTGGCGCGAAACCCACTCCCAAATCAAGGGTCTCCGCAGCTTCAACAACTGGGTCAAGTCCACCATCATCCAGAAGTTCTCCCCCAACGACGGCTTCGACCCGCGCAGTGCCGGCCCCAACAGCGAGCGCATCTTCGTCCTCGACATGGGTTGCGGCAAGGGCGGCGACCTGCTCAAGTGGAAGAGCGCCCCGCAGTCCGTCGAGCTGTATGTCGGCGTCGACACCGCTGACGTCTCTATCGACGACGCCCGCGAGCGCTACAACCAGATGCGCGGTGGCCACCGGCGCGGCGGCCGTCAGCTCTTTGATGGCCGCTTCTACGCGATGGACTGCTGGTCGCATTGGATTGGCGAGCTGCCCATCATCGCCGATATTGGCGCGGACCCGAATGTGGGCCCTGGTGCCACGGCCACGCGGTGGAGCAAGGGCGGCGGCTTCGACGTCGTCACAATGATGTTCTGCATGCACTACGCGTTCGAGTCTGAGACCAAGTGCGCGACCATGCTGCGCAACGTCGCAGGCGCGCTGAAGAAGGGCGGGCGCTTCATTGGCACGATCCCGAGTAGCGATGTGATCTCGAGTCGGGTCCGCGGGGAACATCTGGACCCCGAGAAGAAGAAGGAGATGCTGCCGGAGGAGGGCGAGGGCGCGGAGAATGGGGTCCAGGAGTGGGGGAATAGTAAGTACCGGGTGAGGTTTGCGGAGCCGCCGCCACGTAGCGGAGTGTTTAGGCCGCCGTGGGGATGGAGGTATAGTTTTTTCTTGGAGGAGGCCGTCGAGGAGGTGCCGGAGTATGTGGTGCCGTGGGAGGCGTTTAGAGCGTAAGTTTTTCTGGCGGAAGAGAGTGTGTAGGTATTGGTGGTGGCTAATAGGTGATGTGTGCTGCAGAATCGCGGAAGACTACAGTCTCGAGCTCATCTACAAGAAGCCCTTCCACGACATCTGGAAGGAGGAGCGCGAAGACAGGGACCTCAAGGTGCTGGCGGAGCGCATGGGTGTTGTGGGCCGCGATGGCACCTTTGCGATCGATGATGAGCAGTGGGACGCGTGTGGGTTCTATCTCGGATTCGCGTTTAGGAAGATATAGGCCGTGGGTTGTAATTTTAGTTTCTTTTTCGTGCTTTGTTTTACTATGAACTTGCTTTGCCTGTGATTTATTGCGCAGAAAGGAGGGTGGGAGGGAGGGGGGCGGGGGCTTTTATGGCCCCGGGAGGTTTAGTTAGTTTCTGGTGGGGGGAGGGGGGAGGGTGGGCTACTTTTATCTATTTTTTTTTTCACTTGTTCACATTGGATTTTACGGAGGGATAATGGTCTACTGACTTGAGTAGTTAGTAGCTGCGGTAGCCGTTTGTTTAAAATCACTATTCTGGCCTAATCAATTGCGTATGTGCTGCTCTGTCTGGGATGGGAGCACGTGAATGGGAGGGGCGAGTGAGCGCTTGTGATGTGGGGTGTAGGGTGCAGTGGGTGATCATTGACCCTGTAGGTGGGGGTTTGAGGTTTAGTTGGGGTTGTTTTTTTTTTTTTGGGGGGGGGGTTTGCTGTTCGGGTCTGTATTGGGACCAGTGCGGCGTTTTCTGCTGTTGATGGGGACTTTGTGACGTCACTTCACCGCTCGGGTGGTATTTTACGGCTTGCTCCCTACCGTACCTTCGAAAGGACCCATGAAGTAAGGAACATGTAGTCTCCTGCTCTGGTGGCGCTTACCTGACTACCGCAGTAATTCGTCTCAGCGGACGCTCACATTGACGTTGAAATTCCTTGATCTGGTCATTTGTCTTGAAAACGCCCCCTAATCTTCCCTCATACGCGCTGTAAAAGGCAAATGCGACGTCTGTGTAACCGTCCGTTGAGACGAATTACTGCGGTACAAGCACCTAGCTACAAGAATCTACATACATGTATTGGTAGTGAAAGCTTATGAACAGACACCCCGAGCTCGAGGAGGCACAGTCCTGCCGCAGGGTTCAAACATCCTACAGTGCGCCGGGGGCGAAGCTGGTGCACTTGTGCCTGTTGGAGGTCTCCTCTGCTCTGGGGTGTGTGGCTCCGCATATGGGTATTCTAGTGCTGGCCTTGTGTTCTGTTGTGGCGGCGGTATATATAGTGAGATTACGGATTTGGGGGTCCGGGAGGGAGAGCTCATGCTAGCGAAGACGCAAAGTCTTGTGCTGCGGCAGAGACAAATAACGGGTTATGGAAGGATAGCCATGAGGGGGATAGTATTTGGCCGGGTAGAAGTTCAAAGTAGACATAACCAGCCCCCGAAGCATCCCGTCTCCGTTTCAACAGTGCGGTACTATATATGTAAGTAGGTACACCGAAATCTGTCAAAAAGCAAAGCAATACCTCTCCCCGGTGATATTTATGAGGCGGGTCTATAAAAAATCGATTACGGGGCGAATTATGATTCTGCGGCTAGAATTCTGCATGGGTTAATTAGGGTGTCAATGATCACCGTGAATTGAAGCCGCTCTTGCGGGGATGTCTTCGATATTCTATATGGTAGCTGAGCTTTCCTGACTTGTTCTAGAGTAGTCGGCGGGGGGCTTGTCTCGTTTTGGGCGTGTTATCTCGATTTCGACCCTATATGTACCTGGCTAGGTCTAACTATGTTGCTGTCTATACAGTATTTCTGTACCAATAATTCATTTAGATAAGGCGTGGTCTAGAATATTGTTATAGGTCCGACGCACTGTTGCAACGTTGGATACCGAGCCAGAAAGGGATTCGAGGTCATCAAGATGTATTTCTAGCACGATCTAGAACTTACGCACTAAGTCACAGAGAAGAGGGCTTCCACAAGGCTACTAGCTCCAGTTAAGAGCGGATTTTCAAATATATCACCCTATCCCATTCTTTCCTCCTGGGGCGCCGCGGTATATTACTGCATCTATTGTGGGCCTTGATGGAGAGCTGTGAGTGTGGTGGTCTGGATGTTTGTATTCATTACTTGCTTTCATGAACACAGGTTGTTGCAGGGCTGGAAAGCCATAGTAGGCCTCTCCAGTCTTTTTTTTGGGGGGGGCATTGAAAACTGAATCATCCGTAATTGTCGTTTGTACAGCGGTAGGTAATAAGTGATGGAACGGGCTGAGACACAGTGATACCTGTTTTGGGTAAAACGCCACTAACATATAGTGTTTGAAGGTATAACTATATTTCAGGGCGTTCCATCACTTATTACCTATCGCTGTACATGTGTAGAGATGGTGGTGTTGGGGCGTGGGTTAGTGCCGGTAGATCCGGATGGTACTGGTATCTCCGTAGTGCTCGGCCGGGACTGACGGTACGTGGTTCCACGCGGTATATTGGAGACTTGACCGGGCCATACATGTACATGTAGTTTTAAGGGCAGATTATAAGTGCATGGGCGCCGGGTGGCCGTAACTTTATGTTAACAGCATGCACTGTTTACGTAGCTGGAGAGAACACTCAACATTGTAGACAGATATACTAGACGAGCTGGTATGATATCTTCTCGGCTAGGGGACCTTTCCCCCCAGACATCCAGGGGATTACGGCGTCTGCCTCGTGAAAGGTGGGACAGATCGAGCACGTAGATAGTTTGTGAGTAGGCCTTGATATATATCTTGACCTCCTCATGACCACCGTTACCCCTCACACGTGTTACTATTAACGTCGTTGTGTCCCCCCGAACTCTAACCAGATCCCCCTCCCCACCACAAGTCTAACTGGCCACTGCATCACAAAGGATCACTCGTTCCCAAAACAGCTACTAATTCTGGGCTAGTATTACGTAATGAGGCTCCTCCTTGGCTACCTAGCGGACCGACCCGTAACGTCGAGTGTCAATTTTGTACCTACAGGCAGCAGCATCAGCAGCAACATCAACCACCTCAGGGATATGCCAGCGCCGGGGTCAGGGCCTCATTGATACATGACCACATGACTGCCAATCCTTGCGGGAAACGATAGATACACTAGCCAGCCCAAGGGCTATTCGTGGAGTGGAATTGGAGGATGTACTGTGTGGGCAGCTTGCTTAAGGTTTGACGTTGAAGGTTCAGCTGGGTGCTGGGTAGATGCGTCCGTGACGCAATCTGCGGCAGTGTGAAGGTCCCCCCCGGTCGAGTCCTCATGAGAAGGGCGATGGAGATGTCGCTCCAGCTACATATATAGGCGTTTGTTTGATGAGCCTCCAAAGCCGCGTACTATCCCAAACGGCTATTCTAGAAACTTGTACGAAAATACCTGGCTAGAGTCGATGGGAAAGGGGCGCTCAGAATCAGAGCTTGATATTATTGCAATCACCCATGTTTCATGAAACGAAGCAGAAGAAGATTGAAAGCTATTTATATACTATATCTTCAGTAGGGCCGGCGAACGAAAATAACCGTGCAGCGGCCGAAACTATTCTAGAGGGGATCCACGCTCCCTCATCCCCCCCCCCCCCCCCCCCTTTTTCCGTAAGTAGGCCGTATTGCAATCCTTATCCAGACTCAGCACCGGTCTCTCCGTTTCTTGCTGTGTGTGTGTGACTGAGTGGGTGTATCTTCTTCTAAACAGCCAAGAATAATAAAAAAAGATTATACTTACGCACTAGCTAATATACAAAACGTGTCTCACATGGGAGGGATGGGTGGATGGGATGGATGGGATGGGAGGGATGGGATGGGATGAGATGGAGGAGGGGGGGAATCTAAATAAGTATGAAGCGAATCCAACCCAGGCAGACAGCCCCCCCTACCTACATCCCTCCTCTAGGCCAATGATTACTATGCAAGAAAAAAAGCCGCTGCCCTCCCTCCACTCCACGAGTAGAACGGCATAATGATTTGTTGCTGGAGATAAGAGTGACATGAGAGATTCGCTCGACCCTTGGCACGAATGTCTTTTTTGGCTCGGAAATGAACTTCTTTTGGGGGGGTGGGCAACGTATCAAAAGCGGAAGCATGGGGGGCAGCTGGTTTCTGGCGCCCGGCCTTGCACAAAAAGAATATTTGCCTACATAGGCCTACCGTGTGTACCGGTGGCGACCACTTGATTCGAGTCTGTCGTTTGGAGGCACGGTAACTACTGGCTGGACAGACGTCACGGTCCTCGACAAATCTACTGGTGAACCTGGCTCAAACAAACATGGCAAGGTTTTGGTGTGTTTGGTTTTTAGGTTCATGTTGCGGTTGATTGTCGGGAGCATGATCGATTGAGATCAGTAGGGGATTATGATATACATGTTTACATACCTTCGTGACAGGTAGATACCCCTCCTTGAAGGCGATTCGTTTCAGGAGGCATCAGGGTCCTGAGGCTCTTTCCGTTGAGAAACGCTGCAGATCCCCTTTCGTAGCACGGTGCTCTTTCGCCCATGCACCCACCTAAAAGGCGTTAGGATGGGCTTAGTAAAAGGGCCGACACGGAACCCCCCCCTCTCCGCGAAGAAGGGCAGCGAGGAAGCAGTAGCAGCATTGTAGCAGCAGTAGAGTAGTAGCAGAGGCCGCTCCCCCACAATCGAACCTTCTCTCCGCCCCCCCGAGGCCAGGGCGACCGTTTCTCCTTTTGTGCACCTCTCTCCTTGCCCATTCCCGCCGCCACGGTCGGTTGCAGCAGCTTTCCAGCTTTCCCTGCAACAGTGCTCGCTCGCTCGCTCTCTCCTCCACTTGACTCCCTCTGCTACCCCCCAGCCCTTTCCATCCCGTTCAACCCCTCCTCCTTCCTCACTCCCTCCTTCTTTTCCCGTCCCACCACTCTCCCTTTCCCCCCCCCAATCCATCAACAGCATCTCCCCCCTTCCAAGCCTCCGTCAGCAGCTCTTCACTGTTCTGCCACTGGTTGCCCTTGCCACTACTTGCTTTACTTACCTCTCTCCATCTGCTCCACCTCAATTCCCTCCCCTTCTCCTTTCTCAACCATCATTACGACTCTACATCACCTCCGTAGACCCTCCCTCTGTCGTTAACCCGTCGTCATTGTTCTCCTTCGTCAACCATCTCACCATCGATACTTAGATAAACGTAGCTTTACTGCTGCTACTACCAACTCTTCCATCCCCCCAAACTAAACCCCCCCTACAATCAAAATTTCACTCATCAATATGTCGTCCTGGAAGCTGCCAAAATCTCTAAAACGTGAATAAACAATCTCTCCTCGTCCTCCTTCTCATCCATTGTTCTTGATATCCCCCCTACCCACTATACCCCCCCTTTGATTTATATACATATATATACTTTGCATATATTATCCCCTTTCTTGAGCCTCACCCCCGTAAACTACCATTTCGAGCTGAACAACCCCTCAGCGGAGCTTGCTAACAATCTCCCCCCATCATCACAGAGCTCAAGGAGACCCACCTTGGAACCCCCTCATCCAAAGAGTCGCGGTCCTCCTCCACCTCCACTATCACGCCCAACACTAACGCCCAAGCCTCAACCGCAACGCTTGTCGCCAGTGACGGAACGGTCCCCACTTCAACCTCCACTAACCCCGGCGATGCCCACCCCACATCGACCGTCAAGCCCGGGCTCCTGATCGTCACTCTCCACGAAGCCAAGTCCTTGTCATTGCCCCCCTCGCACCAACAATACAACACGCAGCGGCCCTCATCCTCCTCCTCCCACAGCGGACCGGGCTCGCGGCCCACAACCGCCAACAACTCGTCCGCCGCCCACACCCATGGCCACCAGAGGAACATCTCGAAGCTCTTCCGCACATACTGCGTGATCGAGTTCGACAAGACGCAGGTGATCGTCAACGCAAACTCGGGCACGCTCGACTCGCCAATGTTCTCGGGATACAGCACCCAGTACAAGTTCGACGTCAGCCGTGACACCGAGCTCAGCCTCGGCATCTACATGCGCAACCCGGGCTCTGGCGGCCGCGACGAGGACCTGTTCCTAGGGAGCTGCCGCGTCAATCCGAGATTCGAGGAGCCGGCGCCGCCGTCATCGAAGAAGAGCCGTGAGCCGCCGGCTCCGGGGTTCAGCGGCACGGACTGGGTTGCGTTGAGCAATTCGACGGGGAGCGTCAAGCTGGGGGTCGAGTACAGGCGTAACCAGGATATGCCCTTGACCATTGATGATTTCGACCTGTTGAAGGTTGTCGGGAAGGGCAGTTTTGGAAAGGTCATGCAGGTCAAGTATGTTGTAGCCTCTATATCAATTTTGAACTTTATTTTTTTCATTTTTTTTTTCCTTACTAATATTGATATTATTTTATAGGAAACGTGACACCCAGCGAGTATACGCCCTCAAGACCATCCGCAAAGCCCACATCATCTCCCGCTCAGAGGTCAACCACACCCTAGCCGAGCGCACCGTGCTCGCCCAGATCAACAACCCGTTTATCGTGCCCCTCAAGTTCTCGTTCCAGTCGCCCGAGAAGCTCTACCTCGTGCTCGCGTTCGTCAACGGCGGTGAGCTGTTCCACCACCTCCAACGCGAGGGCAAGTTCGACATCAACCGCTCGCGCTTCTACACGGCGGAGCTGCTCTGCGCCCTCGAGTGCCTGCACGGCTTCAATGTCATCTACAGGGATCTCAAGCCGGAGAACATCTTGCTCGACTACACGGGTCACATCGCCTTGTGCGATTTCGGTCTATGCAAATTGAACATGAAGGAAGAGGACAGAACCAATAGTATGCTTTCCCCTCAATAACACTCGCAATTCAATTGTAATTTTTAACTAACCCATCCGCCCACCCTCAGCGTTCTGCGGAACCCCCGAATACCTCGCCCCCGAGCTCCTCCTCGGCCAAGGCTACACCAAGACCGTGGACTGGTGGACCCTCGGCGTGCTCCTCTACGAGATGTTGACGGGCCTGCCCCCCTTCTACGACGAGAACACAAACGAGATGTACCGCAAGATTCTCCAGGACCCGCTCCAGTTCCCCACCGACATCGACCGCGACGCAAAGTCCCTCCTGACCCGCCTCCTCGACCGCGACCCCGCACGCCGCCTCGGCGCCGGCGGCGCCTCGGAGATCAAGGCCCACCGCTTCTTCGAGACCGTGGACTGGAAGCGCCTGCTGCAGAAGAAGATCCAGCCCACCTTCAGGCCCAATGTGGTATGTACACATCTTATCTTTCTCTACGAGCTTCCCAACATGAATTGCTAACACATGGTGCCTCAGGTGAACGCCATGGACACGGCAAACTTCGACAAGGAATTCACAAGCGAGGTGCCCACCGACTCCGTCGTCGACGGCGACTTCCTGAGCCAGTCTGTGCAGCAGCAGTTCACAGGATGGAGCTACAACCGCCCCGGCCAGCTGGCCACCGGCGAGCCGGGCAGCGTCAGGGATCCGGGCCCCGGAAGTGTCATCGATAGGTAGAAAATAGAGAAAGAAAATGGGAGTTTTATTTTTTGTGGTTTGGAAAGGAAAGTCGCGGAGGACATTGGAGGTGGTTGTGGGGGAGGGGAGGGGGAGGGGGGCTTTCTTTCAAATCATATTTTTTATTCCTTTCTTTCGTTTTTTTTTTATATCTCGTGGATATTTTTCATTTTCTTCATTTTTTTTTTCTCCCGTCGCGCCAAATCAATTGTTATTTTGTGGTCGTTTTTTTGTTGGTTTTCCACCTGTCGGGTTTTTTCACGTTACTTTTTCTCTTGTTTCTTCGAGCTTCTTTCGGAGGGATTACACAAAAAGCAATTGGGTGGGTGGGTGGGTAGGTATGCGGTGATGGTTCGGTCAAGACGAAGGGGTAGGTTGTGAGTAGAGAGGAAAGAGGAGAGAGGAAGAGAGGGAAGAGGAAGAGAGAGCACGCGCGCACGTATGTCGTGACGTACGTCTAAGGGTTTTTGAAGGAAGGGGTGCAATATGTGGTGTTCCGCTTGTCATTTTTTTTTCTTTCACTTTTTTTTTCTTTTTCATGTTTTTATCACAGAATTCAAATTTGATATAAGAATCCAGCCACAACACATATATCTACCACAGCACGCTGGAAAAAGTCACGATAATTATGTGTAGAGTGGTGATATCGATGGCGTGAGGTTGAGATTGAGTTTTTTCTAAAGAGGTTAGAGGCGCCCAGCCAAGGAGGGAGGTTCCTTGAGGCTTGAGGTTGCAAGTGACGGGTAGGTCTAAGGTGGCCCCTATTGATTTCCGTGGTGGTGGCCGCCGCATAACCGCGTTCGTTGGGTTGTACAGACAGCAACAAAGAGCTACCTACCTACCTACCTACATACCAGCTATCTGTCCGCATATCAAAAAAGACCCTTGCCTTCCCCCCCCCCCCCCGCTGTCTTTCCCCCACAACCTCACCTCACCCTGTCCTTGTCAGCATATCCATAAGAATCTATATCGTCATCCTTATCTCTAGCTAGTGTAGCTCTCTCTCTTTCTCACTAGCAATGCGTTTACGCCCGTTCATCTTGTCACTCCTCCTGTCCGCCGCCCACGGCGTGCGCAGCTCCAAAGACACCACCGACGACACCGACTACGTTTACGCAGACCGCATCGAAGTCTCCTGCCTCAGCCGCTCCATGTATGTTAACTGTTGCTTAATTCTGCTTCTGCTGCTTCGCATCCTAACATGAGTGCAACAAAGTGACACGGGCGACCATATCCAAGACCCCACCACCGGCGCGCTGCAGTACAGCCCGTTCGCAACATGCAACGAGACCAGCACGCCGCTGGCATTCGGCTTCAATCGCGACCACAGGGAGCTCAACTGCACGATCCCGTTCCTGTCGGACGAGATGTTCCACCTGCTGGAGTTCTATGTGCACCACGACTCGCCGCTGGCGTGTCGTGTTCCGGCGCGGCCGCTGGGCGGCGGGTTCGATGTGGGGCGGGTGGGCGTGGGAGGCGCGGTCGAGGGAGCTGAGTGGGTCCCGTTGGGTATGTGTGCTTCCTGGTGGTGGTGGTTTTGTCAATGAGGAGGAAGAAGATCGCTGTTTGTTGGGCGGTGCTAATGTGGGGCGATTGATGGTGGGCAGTTTTCTCCCTCGCTGGGAAACTCGAGTTCTCGCATCTCCATATCGCGAACCGTATGAATGTGATTTTCCACCTCTCCGCGCCGGGAGTGATTGATTCTGCGACAGCATATAGCACGAGCCCGCTGCTGGAGTCGACGAGGATCATTATTGGGGATCCGCTGACGCTGAGGTTTGCGGTGAGGTGGTATGCGTCGACTGAGCTGCCATCGTTGCGGTCTGGGAAAATTGAGGATGAGGAAGGAAATTTGCTTGTGTGGATCCTGGTTATAGTTATTGTAGTGGGGTTGGCCGGGGTGGGTGGAGTGATGTTGAGGAAACGGAGGGGCGCTGGAGGGGGTAGAGGAGGTATTATCGGGAATGGGGTTGGCGTGAGGGGGGTTAGTGGGGTGAGTACAGGTGGTGCGGGTTATGGAGAAGGAGGGTATGGCGGGTTCAAGGGAGTTACGAGGAGTGGGGGGTACGGGTATGGCGGGTTTTCAGGAAAAAGGAAGGATTGAGGTTGAAACGAGGTAAGACAATAGTATGTGTAGCTGACGATAGTCATACCTATTCTTTGGCAGATCGTGGTTGTGTGAACTTTGCCATGGGGTTTTTTGGTGTTGGTGAATGCGTGATGTGTGATGTGTGATGCGTGATATGATGTGAGTATGTCGAAACGAACGGTATAATCTGTACTTCTTTCCTTCCATTTCTTATGTCTAGGATAGCATATGTAGTAGTTAGCATAGCTAGGTAGTTAGTTAGAGGATATATGCATTCATCGGTAGAAAATAAACGGAGGATTGGTTGGCTGGCTGGTGGGGGGTAAACATTATAATGGTGGTAGAAAAACAAATCTCCTCTCTTCGTGCCTATGGGCTTGGTGGAAATAATCCATGAAAGCCAGCTCTATGATAAAGCATGGAAATGTTCGATACACTGCACCGGTATAGGTAGTGATGTGTCATTGCGGGAGCACTGAATCCGTCCCGGTATGCCGCCATCCGTCGGTATATGTTGGAAGTCCCCTCCTCGATAGAACCGCTCTACGAGCTCGAGCTCCAAGAGACAGAGGCGAGAAATGTCGATAGATCCCAAGGTTGCGGGATAGCAAAGCTCAAGAGCATAGAAGCTTGTAGTGTTGGTGAGAAGAGTATCAGGTTGGGCCCTTTGGGGACGGTACAGGATATGAAGAAGCCAGTTGCTGCTACACAGCTCCACGTGTGTGTGGAAGCCTGAGGGCTCTAGCTTGAGAAAGGGACCGGCCAAAAGACAGGTTGACAGGTGGCTGCCAAACAACGGTAAAGCTTAAGACGACATGACAGCTGTCTTCGATATGTGATGGGCCGCCCCAGACCACAGATATTTCTGGCCTCAAGGTAAGTTCCGAGCGCGGTGCAAGTCGACACCGGCAGACTGATTTGATCAATTGAGACTGGAATGGCCCAAACATAATTTCCCTCGAGACCAGAACTGGCTGCCTAGTTCTCCTCTGCCCTAACCCTGAGGGCTTCGATGTCATCAAGTGAGCAACTAGAGCTCACGGAAGCTTTGGAGATAGGAGAAAGATTGTCTTTGAGAGTGGGGTTGATGATGTCGGGATAGCAGGGAGATTTGTGAGTGTGTGCTTGTAAGTGTTAGCCCTTGAAAACACAAGTTGTGGAATGAATTGAAGGGAAACTCCTCTTACTGCGCGTGTATCTCCCGGGCTCCTAAACATTTTTTATGTAGGTTGTCTTCATGACCCGAGCTATCCTGAGTGATGGCTTTTTTCGAATTTCGAACTTGAGCTGCACTGGTACATGGTCTTGCAATTGATCTCCGTGTATGTTGAAATAAACAAATATTCATATCTAGTTGACGCCTGTAGACGGAACCGAAAAATCTATCCGAGAGATACGTCCACGGAGCTAATATTTCTTCGGAATTACCTGTACGCCCATATAACTCCTGAAATCTCCTCAAAGGTACGTACATGAGCAAACCTCCCCAGAACTACAACCCTAACCCACACGTTCCTTCAGGTGTCAACACTTCTGCAACCACAACCATCCCGACCCACAGAAGCAATGTGATTCCCATCACCACTCAGTGGAAGTTAAAAAGATATTCCTGGCAAATTGCTGCCCATTGGCTATATGCAGCTTGCTCATCCTTGGCTCGACGTATTAGGAGTTACGCCGGCCTCGATACTGGCCATGGGTGTGGAATTGTAATCACTGAGAAAGGAAGCTTTCCATGTAGATCAATAACCGCTTAGCCAATGGGCATAGTAATAATTCCTGGCTGGAGGTACCAGGTTCCTGGTACTATTGGCCTGGATGAGCAATGAATACTGGTCCAATAGGGTATATTGGTATTAAAAGCAAAAGACACCGGCCCTTTCGTAGGCTTGTGGCCGGCCGGCCATATGTACATACTATACGGGCCCGGGGAGAGACCGGGAGAAGGTGACCTACGGGCTTAATGCTGAGTTACAATGAAACTGAGATGACGATATACTAGTAAAACGGGATGATTCCCCCGACCCCGGCTGGTAGACAGATAATGTGAGAATCCCTTACATGTCCATACTTTCCCCGAGTGAGTCTCTCAGATGTAGGAGCATAAATCTCCCCATCTAGTGCTCGCTACAGGTTAAAGAGCCCAACGTGACGTTCCGATTCGAAGTTGAGCGACGTTGACGTCGACATCGTATTTATTTCATCTAGCCCACTGCCGTTCCTTGGCTACTGTAGGGCAAAGAAGGTAAATATCGATTCCTACAACATGTACAAGCATGGATATATATCACTTTCCGGTTTTTCTTTTTTACTTTCCCCATGTTGATATTAATCCTCATGTCATAAACCCCGGCCCATGGCCGGCATGCATGTGCATATATCTATATCTGCGGTGAACTTTAACCTTCTCACCGATGATTAGCTTAAGTTAGTACCTTTTCAATTTTTTGACAGCAGACGTAACGGTGGAAAGAAAGTCTTGATATCCTGATCGACTGACGTCAAGGTACGTACATACACTTTCTGCGCGCCTCATCCATCATATCATATTAATCAATTCAATGATCTTCATACTGCACAGTAGAATGAGTACAGAGTGGGGTTAGTTGACGTGTAGAGGCGGCGATTCTATACAACATAACATATATTACAATCATTGACTCTTTTCCGAATGGAAGTGATTTTCAGAAAACGATACCCACCCCCACGACCACCCGATTGAAATCTCCAAGTCGGCCGGAAGAAGACGGTAAACGGATTAGAGTAGGATAAAAATGGCTCATTACTAGTTACCGACCGACGCTGCAGCACACATATTGCATAGATACTGCATATACATAGAGCAGTCTGATCTAGTACTTGACTGAGTCAGGGTTAGGGTTTCTCCACAATGAAATTGATTCACCAAAGATCACTCGGAAGCTATCCACTAGCTCAGCTCAATCGACGTCGACGTTCCCTTAGTGTATATAGTTCGCAAATCTTGAAATAGATTATGGTTACTCCCAGCAACAGCACCTCATGCAGGATATACCCTGCCCGGCCGGTAGGTTATTTTTTTTCTTTGCTTTTTCTTTCTCACTCCCACTAATTGGGCTCTCCCTCCTGTTTTGATTTTTCCCATTAATATCCTCTTTCTCCCTGGCCGCTCAGAGATAGGGGATCGACCCACGAACGACGTTCAGCTAGGATGATGTACCGTCCGTAAGATCTTCCCGATCTGAATCTTACCCGCGATCTACTACACTTGAGGGGAGGAAGAGCCAGAGTAGTGAGGTGGGGGGGAGTGTCAAATTACCTTGCTCCCGGGCCATTGCATGAACCGGGTTGGATTTTTGGTGACCCGCAATGTGTAAAGTAATTTATCGCACGTGGCAAAACTGTTAGGCAGGGGGCATGCATATAAGTGGCCCCAGGTATTTTGTTCACTGCCGGTCAGATCTGGTAGAAGATATTTCTTTTTAGCATTCATGTCTCGAGCACATGTGTAGCTTAGAGAAAATTTCGAAAGGTCCTGAACCTTGGCTTTGGGATTTTGAGATATTTTTGTTTACTTTTTAGGCCATACGGGTCTAGCAGAGTATAATTTGTTTTCTTACCATCTGAGTGGATACGTAAGTTTTGAGGTTGTGGAAAAATAAGTAATCGCTACACACATATGTACGTAAGTGATTCAACCCAAATTTTTGACGTTTCCTGCTCACATTCGAAGATGGGCTATAACTTTGAATAACGCGCCAGCCCGAAGAGTCAAACCTGTGATATATCTATATCCTTTCATTACTGATTTAGTAATTTATGCCAATAAAAAGTTTGTACGAAAACCTATATGCGCTCATGCAGGTCTTACGTCTCAGTGTCAAGGTCTAACGATCTGTGAGTAACTGACGAAACATCTGATGCTTCAGGCACTCTATCAATTGAACATAAATATCCTTTTAAACTGTTCATAGTATAAACTACATACTCTATAGAAACGGCACATCACGTTTCACGGGTTTTGAATCCTACCACTTGAGGTGTGGAACTGTTACTAGTCCTTCTCGGGCGGCTTCAGTTCTCATTTAAAAGTGGATAAATGCGTGGGCACGCTAGTTAAACAAATTCTTACAGCGGGAAATACGTGCCGCTCTCGGTTTCGGAGTAGTTTTTCCGAAACGCATATGTTATTGAAATTCGTTGACATAGCCACTAGATGCAAATTTTTATTGGCCGGCGCTCTTGCATAAGGTGGCGCGGGGCGCGGGTACTTGTCACATTGGAGCGGTAAATGGCATAACATGGAGCTTAAGGTCATCAATTGCGCTGTTAATCGGTGCCTCCATATTTGAGAGGAAAAAAAGAAAATGTATTTCTGCTTACCTAGTTATTTTCTTTAACTGGAAAAGAATCCTAGTTTAAGTTTCTCCCAATTGAAGCGTATATATATACATTACAATATATACCATAAGGATCGAATCGCACCGAGAATTTGACGGGGAATCTTTATTTAGCTAATAAAACTCTAAATTCGCAGTTAACCCAGTCAGCGAAAGAATAAGAATAAAAAAATCCGCGTTCACTTGTTACTCCATTTGGCCAAGACCTGAAGTCCTCGGCAATTGAAGAACCCCAGCGCCTGGTTTACCAATCAGCACACAAAGCGCCTTTTTCTCTTCGTGACAGTTCACACACATCGATTGTAACAGTTTGGTGCTCGTCGTATGCACACTGCAACTTGAAAGAGTGCTGGCATGAATCTTTCCAGAGTACCTCCTCCTCCCCCTAGTTGGCCCAACAAAAAGGATCAATAATATCCCCACTAGAGTACCAGATACCAACACGAAGCCGACCAGTGCAAGGAGTGAAAGCCAACAGTTTGTTCAAGTATCGAGGACAATGCAGGTAACCTAGGGTATATACAAGTGACAAGTTTACTGTTTGTTTCGATTTCAGGTTAATTTGATATTGAACTGAGTTTAAACCAATATTCTTATAAATTAGTTCAACATAAAATATTGGATATATACACGTGATTAAGTTATTTTGACTTGGGTAGAATCTCACATTTCAGAAAGTTGCATTAATCTGCAAAGTCCGAGTGATCATCGATGACCATAGAAGTGATGATAGCGTCTAACTCGGCTAGAAATGCTGCAGAAACTATCGTGGGATATTTTTACGTACTTGATTCAGTTCATTGGATTATCTCCATAAAATTGCTTAGTTTTCATCGGTGAAAAACGCCGACAGCCTTCGAACCTACTAGGCTCTATTTAAGTCAGACCCTGTTTTTCTCCTCCCTCAGGCTATCGAGTACAAAGCCGAAAGTCTTGCCGGTCATTTCTTTAGATATAGAAGTTAATATGGGTCTAAGTGACGGCTAGTAGCAAGGCTTTAGACCAGACGAGGTTAAGTTTTACTGTGGGTTCTCCACAGTAGTTATGTGGGGAGTATCGTGACCGGCTCATCACGCCCTATGCATGTATGTACCAGATAATTATACTCTACACGTATGCAGGAGGAAATATCTCCAGGAAGCCTGGAATTAGACTAGGGATCTTCCCTCTGCTCTAGTGTTTGCTTTTGAAATTCTGATCCAACCATTGGTGGGACACAAATTGTGATATACTAATACGCCAATCAAAGAATACCTTTAACGTATGAGAGTGGCCCGTGTTGTACCCAACGTCCTTGACGTTGGGTTGCATACCAGTAATATTCCCTGCCAAGATGCACGATCCGGCATTGCGGATGCTAGCGCGTCTTCCGCGAGGGTGAATAGTTCGATCTGGAGGAGCATGACAGCTTGACCGCCTCATGAGGGGGACCACGTCAAAAGGGGTTATAAAACGTGGAAATTCGCCGAATGTCAGGCAATCTGCACTCGCGATACTTAACGAGACAGGAAATGCCGGCAAGATCAGCAACCGGCGAGATCTAAATCATCTGTTTGTAGAGTAGATATTAAGGGAGGCATCGTCAATATGGCGTAATTGAGGATCAATGCATGTCTGAACCACGGTATCACCGGGGCTAGGCGTTAAGAGTTTTTTTCATCATTAGTTTTCTTCTGATAATAAAGGCTTGTTAAGATGTGACAAGCGGTTTCAAGTCGCTGAATAATGATTTTAGACATTTCTGCGGGGTATACTGGTCGAGTGTATATTTTACAAGTTACAAAACAATCAGGAAGTCGATTGTAAAATGTGGTTGTAAGAACAATCAGGCATGCCATTCACAAACAAGACATATGGACTCACTCAATTCTTTTCGTTGGATAGAATATCTAGCCACGGAAAAAAAAATCCAGACTTGTAGCGGTACTCTATAATTCCACCACGCGGATTGTATGTCAGCCTCAAGTTTGCTGCCTCCCGACATGTACGATCAGTTGTAAAGGCCCCATATGGGGATGACGGCGAGTCTTGCTCTAGTAGTTCCCCCCGTCTGCCCACAATTGTTTATTGTAGTTTTCGGTTAGCCTTTCATCGTTTCCATATCTAGGATGCTCAATTAGTATTCTGGTTTATCTCTGAACCCTCGGATTTGATGTAAATGTACTTTTCCTGCCATTCGACAAAACCCCCAGTGAGTACATAGACCTCTTGTTTTTTTACTTTTCCATCCTCATCTCTTTCCTTTGGCTTTCCATCATCATCAATATTCTCAGTTGTAACCCTTATTGTCGAGTCTGCTCCGAATAATCTTTCACGCTCACGGAGGTATTTCACAGCGGCACTAGGACCGCGAACCTGTGAGAGGGCACAGTGAAAGACAACCTTCTCAGCCCCTTGGAGCTGACGTGCAAGGTCTGGTGCACTGTAATCTAGTGTTTCTGAAGGAACATGACGTGAGGATTTGATATGACCACCGATGTGATCTGTTGATTAAACCACACTAATCAGCGTTTTAACAACCACAGGGATTGAAACTCATTATTGAGTAATAAAAAAAGCTCTGCAAAAACGTACCTGAATCTCTCACATCAACAACAACAACTTTCTGATCAGTTGGCTCTACCAAGAGCAGCGCACTGAGCCTCTCACGGGAGATTCTATTCAATGATGGAAAAGCACTTGACATTTTCAAAACGATGAGTTGATGAATTGGTTTGTTCCTAAGTCGAAAGTTGGATTGGTGTGGGTGGAAGGATGGCGGGATGGCGGGGCTAACGCGGGGTTGAGGCGATCTGTTAACGATAGTAGTAGAAATAAGTACTATCCTTGGAAATACACAAAATTTGACCTTCTATCTTATTTGTTTAGATCGGAGTTACCTAACTTCAAAATGATGTCCCCACTATCTACAAGCGCCAGCTTCTTGTTGGTCGGTAGCTGCCTAAGGTTTGAACTTCCTTGTTGTCAGAAGTGCCCCAACTGGCCTTGCCCGGTCCTATTATGCGTGTAGATCTGGGCACGACCCTTTACTGAAAGCCTGAGTATAGCCAGGTGGAATACTCTGCCATGCCATATATCGATTACCAACCTACATGTAACCGATACCCTCTGCCCACCCAATTGCATAAAACCCCTGAATTTCATGCTGACATTATTTAAGAGGCTTTATTGGTAGGGGCTTACAATTAGGGCGGAGGCCGGATGGGGGTACGGTTTTGCAAGACGGGAACAGATACTATAAACAGATCAAGTAAGAGCTTGGGCGCTCGTGACACGGCCTGGGTGATAAATAAACCAACGAACGACAGCTTACCCATGAATTAACCCGTATTTCAATGCGAGGTTGGAGATCAAGTGAAATATCACCCAAATAAATTTTGGGAACATTACCAACCAATAAGAGTACAGTATGTTGCCTGTGTTCAACTTCCACAGAACAGGCTGGGTGGTTAGAAAAAGGTTCGGATGCCTGTTATAATGAATTAAATGCTAGGATGATAGGGACACAGCCCCTGACAGGAATTTGGAAAGTCATATATACTCTTCTAGCAAGTATATCCGATAAATATAAACCATACGTACCAGAAATGATCCGAGTTGGAAGATTTCCCCATGAATATGGTAGAACTGGAGACACCAGGTAGAGTTATTGATTCTTGAAATGTATGTGTTTTGATATAAAATATAACTACATGTACATGTAGTTAATTACGAAGGGCATACACATATGGTACCTGAGCATATATGCGCTGGCCATGGTTTTAAACTTGTCTGCTCGACTTTTCTTACCATGAAACAAGCAAACTAGCTAGCTCAGGTTTAACATTACATGTAATATCTCACGTTCTATATGTATATGTATGTTATCTTCGGTCATTTTTATGAAAAGATTCCACTTCTGAGTTGACAAGCCCCCACACACCCAAGCTCTCAAAGCGAGAAATAGTGGAATTATCAAGCCGCAGCCAATGGCCAGTCAGGAGATAAAAGCCAGAGTGTGCGGGGTAGGATCATGCAGATATAATGCAGGTTCCCGTCTAATGGTACCTGGGTACATGAGTCGTCAAGCTTGTTGTAGATGATAGAATGCTCTGATGATGTTGGAGCGTCGATTTTTACCTAGTAACAGATCTCAATCTCAGCCAATAGAATACAGAATTGAGAAATCATGAGCATTGAATGATAAAATAAGGTGTATGCATATAATCTCTATAGTGATGAACTTTTGAAGTCGAAGATCTAGAGTTTGCGTGGATACCCAAGTATCAGGTTGTGGAAAGCCTTATTCACAGGAAACATACCGTGTCCGAATCCCGCCCAACACATAATATTAATTGCATACTAATGGCCATATTTGAAAATATTCCGTAAACAATTAGATCTTTTGATAGTCAGACAGCAGAACATGGAATATACAGCCTCGTAGGATAGTTATAGCTATATAGAGCACGTGTAGTTTTGGTAATCCACACTCGAGTGGATAAACTTACTCTAGAGAGCTGGCCAAAAACCCACCAACCAGGAGATCGAAGCATTGGATTTCCCTTTGAAGATATTGTATCCTCGGCTGCAGCTTTTATTAAACATAACTCATAAACATACCACGTGACAACCCCCACGTACCGCGCGTTTCTAATTGCCATGGAGGGCCGAATATCGAATTTACATAGCCCCAACTAGTTGGCAAGATGGGAGTGGGTATGATCAACATTTGAAGTGACTAGCCAGGAACGAGATCAGCAACAACGTCGTAAAAAGTTCCCATAGCTTTCCTGCTGCATGCAGGGGCTGTAGTTAAGCCCACGCCTATCCTAGGGTTGATTTCCCTTCCTGGACCAGGCGCTTTGAAGCTTAGACGCCTTCCCGGGCCACTCGAACACCCCCATCACTCGAACAGTTGACGATTATTGGTGGAGAAGCCCAATTCAAGAGGTAGAGAAACCGGTTACAGCGCAGATCCTTTCTTTTTTGCGTTAACTGTTCGAGTGAGGGGGGGTGTTCGAATGGCCCGGGAAGGCGTCTACCGGAGAATCTAGCTGCCGAGAATAACTTTACATGTGCTTGATATTCCTCAACTGAAGAACATAAATTGTAAGCGTGTAGGCACGCGCGTAGAGTATAAGGTGGATCCATGATAAGGCTTACCCTCTACGCGGCTCGATCCAACAGATGCCTTCTCCGGAACTTTAATTGCAATTCCATATATGGATGGCTGGACTTCCAGTCGAGTTGATGGCGATCAGTTGCGTAGTATCACCTACCATGCTGCTGCGGTGAAAGCCCTCAAATTGATTGTTATTGAGATGCCGTCATAACTGCCGTCATCAAGCGCACAGGGCCATCTAGCTAATCCTGCCGATAAGATTGTGCAGAAATGCTTATCCGGTACCTCTGAATTATGGAGAAATTCTCCATCGGCCTCCGGGTTCAGTGTGGTTCGTCCTTTCAATACCCTATATCTGGATGCGTATGATCAGTTGCAAAGTAACCCCCACAGAGATTTGGTTCTCAACGTCCCATGAATTGATACTTACATAACCCTACTCAACTCTTTAAAGTGATCGACACTGTGGAAGGACATTTCTTGATGCGGAAAGCAAAAACAAAAGAAAAAGGCCAACTATACCAAAATCGTTTCTTGTAGTAGAAAACATTATGCGGACCTCTTGCATGACCCCTTGCTCCAGTCTCGCGAAATATTGACTACAGGTGTACCCTGCAAGCCCAGTTGTGAAGGGCGAAACAGGAAGTACAACGTGGAATGCAGGAAGTGCCTTAGAACGGAACAGAACCATTGTATACGTATTAAAGGGCAAAGGAGAAGAAGATTATAGGTACGTGTAGGTGTACTCACTCTGTCTAAGCAGGCCAAAAATGATATACTCGCGCGTTAATTAAGTCCTGAGAAATTTTGTGAGGTCGTTGCTACCAAGAATTCTCAGGACTTAGTTAATACATGTAGGTGAGTATATTACATGTAGTATACATTTATTGTAGGCCAAGGACAAAAAGCCCAGGCTCATGTAGTCAATTGGGAGATTGAATGTAGAAGTCGGCGCAGAGTACTGGTTGCTTCTAATCCTGGGAAAGACCCCAGAGTGTCAACGTTAGCAATTGATCAGAACACGAGATGGTAAACACGCACAATACAATGCTTATACACACGGACTCAGAATTATCTTTTTAGAATTCTACAGATTGAGAATTGCGCCAAGGAATGCGATGATGTGGACGCAGAGTCTCAGAGTACTATCCTGAGCCCATGGAGTTCGATGTTGGGCGCATACATGTAACCTAGACATATGTACTCGACAACTCGCTTTAATATCCGAAGAAGCCGATTCCGCGCATAATACGGTTGTAGAGCACTGGTGCTCTTATTGCAAGTAAGTAAGGCGTAAGTCGCGGGATCCGGAGGACATCATTGAAAGCTGCCGCGATGCGACGGGTGTGCATAGGACTTTCTTTAGAGATTACATAGGGGTACATGTATGTACATGTACATACACACATGTATATGTATACTTTATTCGATGTATACCTACAAGCTGGTTGCTGCAGTGCCGGTTGGACTCAACCCTGGGTGTTGCTGTTCATCGAGTGAGAACGAACCCCGGTGCAGCGGTTGCATTGTTGTATTGTACTAGCTACTAGCCGTTGGCTACCATGCCTCGCGTTTTCGCGATTTGCTAATATCCGAAAGGATCAAGGGCATTTCTTTGGACAGACAGAGCGGATGGCATCCTCCGCGTTTCTATTCTCCTTGATCAATTAATCACTTCGTCTTCTTCTTCTTCTTCTCTTCTTCTTCTTCTTCTTCTTCTTCTTCTTCTTCTTCTCCTACTACTACTTACCTCACCTCACAAATCGAAAATCATATCAGTAACATCCTTTCAAAAAATCCCTCCCCGCTTTTTTTGGTTTGGCTTTTATATAAACCACCCACCACCCACCATCCACCACTGCCCCCCCCCAACCCCCCGCGCTAAATTCTATCACACAAATTCATTCAAGTCAACCTGGCTTCTGTCTATCTAAAGACATCTTTACACTCAATTGCATCACTCACTCGAGTCAACCAAACCTCCAGGGCACTTTGTTCAAACTTTCAGATAAAAGCTTTCACCTCGTACAGCGCAAGAATGGGCGTGACAAAGACAATCCTTAAGAATGGCGACGGAATAAACTTCCCAAAACCACCGGACACAGTCGAAATGCACTATAATGGCACTCTTCCCGTTGGAACCAAACTCGCCGATGGCACGGTTACGACAGAGGAAAAAAAGTAAAGAATTATATATCTAGCCTAACTTTACGAGACTCTACTAACCTATAATATCTTCAGATTCGATTCTTCTGTTGACCGTGGGGAGCCCTTCTGTACCAAGATTGGTGTTGGGAAGGTTATCAGAGGTGAGCCCATTGCCCGCCGTCGTCTACTTCACATTCAGAGGAACCCCCACTGGTACCTGCTACGATCTGTTTCCGTCGCCACCTTCCTTCTTTGGAACGCAAGCAGCTAGGGATCGTTCGGACTGTTTTTTGACATATTTGGTAGGCTGGGACGAGGGAGTCCCCACGATGTCGTTGGGAGAGAAGGCTCTATTAACTATTACTGGGTAAATCATCCCTATTGGAATATCCCCATCCTAGCTTTGTCCCGTTGAATATTCCTTTTCCCTCCACCACTTGATATGATAGGAAACGTTTTTTCGGCTAACCACATATATAATTACTCGCATGCTTTTTAGTGACTACGCCTATGGAGAACGGTATGTACCATGGATTGCGACACCTCATCTATCCCGGTGATTTACTTACAGGGGTGATCCTTACGTCACAGCGGTTTTCCCAATTTGATCCCCCCGAATGCTACTTTGTGCTTGTAAGTGCTTTCCGTGCGTGCATAGTCAATGTGATTAATATCGATATCGATATCAACATTCGCATTGTTTGTTACTTTGAAACACAATACTGACTTTGTGAAAACAGCGAGGTTGAGCTTCTTCGTATTAACGAGAAGAAGGCAGGCACAGCTGACCATAAACCGAACGCTTGATTCCAATTACTTTCTCTAAAAGCATCATCAAATCGGATTCCACATATGGGGTTAAACGGCCGGGGGAAATTGGTGTTTTGTTTTCGGTTTCAGAGAATGTTTTTTTCTTGATGGATTTTTCTGGGTATGTTTCGTTCGACCTTACTGGCTACTTTTTGTAGCCAGTATGTAGGCATGGGAGTCATTGTAGCGGTTAGATTTTGGGATGATTGGGGGTGGTGATAAATGGAAGAAAATTTTCGAAACTTTTTGATGCTGTTTTCTTCATGAACTTCTGCCGAATCCCACGTGTGAATTAACCAATGACTTCTTTCAGATCATGAGCACCCATGCACAAGCAGGTACTCTACATGCAGGCAGTGGTAAATCTGAGTTGAGGCTCGGTGTATGGATTCCAAGCGAAGTAAAAAGAAAAGAGCCAATTTTTCGTGCGCTGCAGATCAGATTTGGATCTGTGTTCTTTGACGATCACATTTCTCTTGCCCGCATATATATAGCACTGGCTAGCCCAATCGGATCCTTCTAGTTTGCAGAAACGACAACGAAGCCGTTGATCCTACGTCTCGAACCCCTCGGCTACGAATTCGGCCTTCTCCACGCCAAATAGTATGGGGGTCTTGTAAACGGGTCTGCCTCGAATCCATGGTACTTTGTATTTACATATCCGCAGATATGTAAGTAATGATAGACCAACCTGACATTGGCGAACATCGATCCACCCCCAGTCAATTCTGTGAAACATCTAGCGTCATCAGCCGAGGGGTTAACTACATGTAGAACTATATCTGGTTGCGTAAGGCGATTCATGAGATAAATTTCATTATATGTTCGATGGAGCTCGAAGAAATAGTACCTACTCCCGGTATTATATCACAGGTCAACACGCATTGTAAATGGCTAGCGAAGATGAAGAAAAGTGCCTGGCCAGAGTCTTACCATTACCCACCTGAGCTCGAATCAACCAGGCTTCTCTTGGGTTCTGGAACCACCCTATTTGTATTTACCGCCGTACTACAGGTCTAGGATCGATCCAGCAAAACGAAAGAGAAGAAGGTGGTTGTAAAGAGTCGAAGATAATTTCACCGACTCTCTATAATACAAGGCTTTTGCCGAAAAGAACTAGACTTCTTTGAACATAGATATATCAAACCAGACTGGCATTTGACAGGACATTATGCACGATACATACGCCATAATATCAAGAAAATTGGTCACATTTACAAGGAAAACCACCGCGCTTAGTCAGCTACTCTAGTGGCCAGCAAGGGTACCAATGAAGTCTGTACGATGTGGATGAAAGGGGAAAAGAGTTGATGAAAAAGGGGAATTCTGACACCACATAGGGTTTATCAGATCTATGCAACCACCGCATTAATTGAGGAAGGTTAAACGCGGGTTGAACTGGCCGTCACCTCACCACTATGCAGCAGCTAGGTATGGAGGCAGGGCAGGGGTGATCTCATGATTTGAAACTATCCCTTGAGACGTGTTAAAATTAACTGTCTACTCACTCATATAGAACTATCCCTTGAGACGTGTTAAAATTAACTGTCTACTCATACAGACAGCTTGTGAGCTCTGATGACCTCCAGCCGTGATGTGTGTGTGTGTAAGCTCTCTATAGCTAGCTCTTCATTATATTCTTTCTTTGGGCCATGCATGATCATATGAGCGCAAAGCTCGATACTAGATCGACCACTACTATATTGTTTTCGAGTCTCCCATTGTTCGACCTGCGAGGCAATAGAACATCCTACATGTACATATACATATACATACATATAACATACAGAAGTAAAGTGGGTCATCTTAAACCCGAAGGCCCATCATCATCGCCATTATCAATTGCTACTACATATACATACGTATACGTATGTGAGAAAGTTTTCAGACCAGTGATCATGATCGTAAAGTTCTAGTCTCCGAGCAGAGACCTACTCCTTGCATGTACTCATGAGGTACCCCACGAGGGGGGAGAAATGTGGCCACCTGCTTAGATGTTTAAGATGCAAGCGAACAGAGAGCCAACCATACACCGTGTGTTTGACAGCGGCACATATGGCGACAACGGAGTTGCCCAAAACTTGCATACGGGACTTACTTTCCAAAGCTGTCCATGAAACCGAATCGTAGCGTCCAGATAGGTATTCTCAATTGAAATGTGATTATGAGCGATTGAAATGAAGTTAGCGAACTGGCAATTCAGATAATTTCTGCCTTATTGTTAATTGATGATATATTTCCACTCTTGATGCATAATTCCTGCAACGTATACAGCACACCCACCCACATGTACACACACATACATCTCACACTATCTAACCCCAGATAATTTTATCAAGCTTTATAATTTATAAATTTATATATCACATAGATGTGCTGGTATCTTATGTAATTATTCTAGCGTAGTCACCGCCCTCACTCTTTTTCTTGACAGGCAAATCCCACACTATATTTCAAACCCACCTTCACAGGTACAACTACTTATGCATGCTTCCAGGGTACGTGGATACATGTATATATATCGCAAACCCTGTATCCGGTAATTATGTCGAAAAATGACAGTCGAAGGGATAATTCATACTCCGCTCCCACCAGATATCTCTCAACGATCATGGGAGATCGGTATATGTAGGTAAATACAGCAACGACATAGCAAAGGCCTGTGCCTCTCTGATCGCTATCACCTTAATTCAATTAGCGCGAATTATTCCGACATGAAAAAAACAATCCTTCGTAATTAAAAGGCAAGGTTACGACTTGCAATTCTGATTGGGCGCATTACTCTCAAGACGGAGGGTAAGTCTCCTGACTTCCACGACATAGTACAGGGCCGACATTGAAGCGGACAAGCGTCTTGATATGCCAACTCTATGGGGCCCCCTAGCTTTCTTCCTCCTCCTCCTCCTCCTCCTCCTTCATTCAGAACCCTCAAACATCACCAATGTAGATCGATCTGTTGAGCCCAAGAGTGAGAGAAGGAAAACCCCTGGTAATATAAACTTACGCCAAATTCACAACTATAACTGCGCAGTGATTCTATTACGCGCAAGCGAATTCTATAGACTAATCGATCGATCGACACATCCATCGGCCCAGAAAGGATCAACTCAATCCTAAAAGTAGAATTAATCGGCGATGCATGCCTATTTGTAGGAGCAGTATTATAACAGCTACAAATGATTTATCCAGAGCTCCCATAGTCACCGCTCTACCGAAACGAGAATGAAATAGGGAGAGATTTACTCACGATTTGACATAAAATCTCTTTTTATGGCGTGTATTCCTGATACACTATTATATAAAAAGTATAGTTATAAAACCGGTTCCCGATTACATACCTACGGCAATTATATGTGCAAGGTACATGCTATGCAGTTACATGTATACAGGGGTAATATCGTACCGTTGCCCTGTGGTTTTATTCTCGATTTTGCACGGTTAAGGGTCGACAAGACTAGACGTCATACCAGGCTATGCAGAATGTCGAAAAGTGTAAAGAATTCTTCATGTGTTGCATGAAAAATCAATAAGGTTTGTGGCTACATATTCTACTGGGGAGCCAGAGCCAGAAGATGCCGGCACATGGGATAGAGAAGTAGAGTACTATATTATATGTACGTACTTTAATTTACATCTAGTGGTGATGGTTAGGGACCACGTTTTACGGCCCGCTATTGTGGCCTGGCCAGCTGGGTACATGATCTTTGATTCGTGAAATGGCAAGGTGACCCGAAATTCTCACTTTGTACAGGGTATATAACGGGCAGATTGTATTCCGACGACCGGACCTATCGAAACTCTGAATTAATATAAAACGGCACAGTCTTCTCGAAAACTGGAGGGGCATGAGCAGAATTTTAGGCATGGTCCAGGTTTTGTGGATGAAGCGTACATGCATTCGATATCCCCTGAGATTGGCAGGGCTAAATAAACAAGGTTGAACCTAGTTATCCATATACATTAAAATCGTTTAATTCAATCTTGGGAAACCCAATTGCTTGTTTGGTACTTTGAGACCAATCGGAATTCAAGACACAAGCGACATACATACATTAGGGTTTCTCCTTGGTGGTTAATATAAACTTCAGCGAACCGGGTTTGATCAAAGACCAGATTGAGATTTATACATATAATATACATACGTCTTTTTCAGCAAGCGTCATTAATGGCCAGTTTTGGTTTCCATAGCCACGATAAGATACGACGTGTACAGTTGCGCTACATACAGTTGGTGCAAGAAATAGGCCGAGAAATCGACAGGCATTATTCCAGTAGAGTGCTTATTGCTTCCATACATGTATATTGCAAGAGAAAGGTGATAGGACACGTATAACAATAGATAGCTGCATGTACCGCCGCACCCTGGATATTCTTACCTAAGGTGACCGGGTGAGATCGCATGATCCACCATCCCGGTCCTTATAGAGTTGAGGCAGCAGTACTTGTGATGAAGACAGAGGTCAAAATCAACCAGGCGGTTAATAGTCTAAGATACATATGTAACTATAATTCAAAAATGGTTCTTAATTTTTGAGCAAGCGTGCACGTACCATAGCCATGCTTTGATTGATTTATTGATTACTTCATTACCATGGCCATGCATTATGTATGTACGCGTCTAGATTTTAAATTTATATAAAGGTACTAACTCATGCGATCACGCTATATTCTTTTCATTTGATTAATACGATGATCGAGATTCAGTTATAATCTAGCTTGATAGAGTTCTATGGATAGGAAGGTCATTCACAGTACACATCATGGGCTATCACTCGAGGAGCCGGAGGCTCATAGGACTAATTGATCGATTGATTGATTACTTCATTGAGGCTCATGAATTCCCCTGTAGTGATCCATGAGGTTCATGGTTCAGGGCCTGTCAAAGCAGAGTTATATTCATGTTAAAATAAACCTTCCCCTTCCCGCTTCTATCTTTATTTCGGGTTGTCTATCCATGAAACAGTGTGCGCGTGGTGGCTTTATCTTGCTTTCGGGAAACAAAATTGATATCACCCGGTACTGATATTAGCACTGATCATGACCAAAAGGTATATCCACTCTATACTGCCCTTTTTATCACTAACCACCGATATTCGTAGACTCACTACTCACCGCAGTATGGGTTTTAGGCTCTATCTTAGTCTGTATCCGTACAAACTGGCCGCCAACTTTCATTGCCTATTCCTTCGCCGTAATCACTGCACCTATAACTCGAGTACACGCGTAGTGGATCCGGAACGTTCTTTGTATTGTGGAATATTCCTCCTTTTTATGTACGTAGGCTTAGAATAATGTCGAGTAAAACCGTTCATATAATATTTAAGACATGCGTGGTGATGTAGGTGAATGCACTCTCAGGCCATTGTTGTTTTGGCGTCACCAGTTATCACTCGCTTCATTTCAGTGAGCGCTAGGTACTAAATTAGTTACTCCCGATTTGAAATTGATTGTTTCCCCTTTTTCTTGATTTGAATCACCAGAGGCTCAACCATAAAAATCTTGTTTGAACCTATCCCTTATTAATACGTCTTCAAACAACTTACGTACATACTCCCAATCCACCAATCCCTCAACCAATCCACCGCTATAACTACATAGCGCTATCAAACAAAATATCTACCCCCACACCATTACAAAGATCAAATCACAATATGTATAACCACTAACAATCAAGAGTGAAATTAGAGATGTTTAAAAAAGAAAGAAAAAAAAGAGTACTGAAGATCAACTCAAAGTAATAGCTTGAAAAAATGTCATATAAGTTCCCTAACATTTCATCTCTTCATTGAAATTCCCCGACAAACCTGACGGTTCTTTTTTTCTTTCTTTTTTTCTTTTCCCAAGGTGGTATAATAGGATGCGAAGGACATAGTAAAAAAAAACAATCGAGCGATAGAATAGGAGTAAAAAAAAAACAAGCTAGCTAAATTCAACCAATCCTCCTACTTGACATCATCAAAAAATACAAAATTTCCCCCAAACCCCAGAATCCCAAATTGCATTAATTTTAATACGATACCTCCCGTAGGTGTGGGGAGTAGAGAAGCGAAATAAAGTTGCGCCCCAGCGCAGCCAGGCAACGTAGGTAAGTAGGTAGGTATAAAACATTCTGATACCCAACAAACGCCGTAAGAATAAGAAGCATAAAAAAACAGAAGAAAAAAACAGGAGTTGTCAAATATGTAAAGCTGAAACAAAAAAATAGAAAAAAAAATGGAGAAAACGCAAGCTCGGGTATAGATACAAGTTACGCACAGGGATAAGAAAATAATAAGGTGGTACTTTATGACATTGAAAATTATCTAAACTTTTGGCCGAATTGGTTGGTTGGGTGAATGGTACGAGAGGGTATAAACTAATAGTAGGAATGTCTGAAAACAGAAAGGGTTAAGTTGACTAGAGTGTTGATCCTTCTTCCGTTCCCTTACTCCGACACTGTCTCCTTCCCCGCTTCCTCCTCCAACTTTCCTTCCAGCGCACACAAAGAACTCTTAACATTCCTGACAAAATTAATTCCAACCCAGCGAATTCTCTGCCATCATCGGCGCCGAGATTTGCGCTGTCCTAGCACTGGCCCTTCCCCCACTTCCCCTACTTCCCCTGTGATCGAATCTCGCCGCACCGTGCATAACCGCGCCCCCACTAGCCATCAATCCACTCGCCGGGTTGCTCCCAGGCGAAACACTCCTGTTAATGGAGTTGCTTCTTCCGTGTCGTCCAGCCCTTCTCTGCCTGTACCTCCTAGCCACCAAGAACATCGCCGCACCATACGCTGCAGCGCCCGCAACAATACCGACACTCAAACCAATGGTCTTGCCGGATACGGTTGTGTTAGAGGATGTACTTCCCATAGGCGCGGCATCCCCATTGTCGGAGGATCCGTCTCCATTGCTTCCGTCCCCCCAGGTTCCACCTGTTCCGACGGCGCCGTTGCCGTCACCAGTCTGATCGTCGATTGATGCGAGCAATGGAATTGATGGGTCGAGAAGGTCTATCATCTGAGAGACAGGGGCGTCTGGGTTCTTGAAGAGGCGTGCGGCGGGCGTGTGACGGTCTAGATCGAGCTTGTTGACAAGATCTTTGGGGACGTAAGCAAATGCGAGTGTTGTGACGTAGCCGCGGGTCTTGGTGGTGTCATAGGGCTGGAGAGTATGCATAATCACATCTGAGGAGTCGATCTGGAGCCCGTAACAGAGACCGTGAGGGAGATATTCGAAGATTTGAGCGACAGCTACTGGGTTTTCGACGACAAAGGGGTAGTTAAGGGCGTGTAGGAAACCAAGGCGGACAAGGGTATAGTTATCGGGCGGTGTAGGCATGCCACCGGCTGGAGTGATTACCTTGGGGAGGTTTGATGGGATACCGGTCTGAATTGATGTGGTCGTAGTGGTGGTTTCATCACCTGTTGCAGTTGCAGTAGTGGTCGAAGTGGTGTCGGGTGCTATTGTAAGCGCAGAAGAGAACCATTGGGTGGTAGATGTGGTCGTGGGCTTTGTGGTCAAAGTCGTACTGGGGAGCTCGGTGGTTACAGTTGATGTCTCCGGGGCCGAGGAGGTCGTATTACCGGCGGCCGGGACAGAGGTGATCTTGCTAGTGGGTTCGGTGGTTGACGTCGCGAACGTGGTCGATACTGTGCCAGTGGATGTATGAGAAGATGCCCCAGTAGATGTCGAAAGAGTACCCGAGGAAGGATCCGCTGTTGAAGTGCCATTGACAGGCGGTGGGAACAAAGTAGTAGAATCATGTGGCAGCGAAGTAGGAACCGACTCTGTTCCATTGGTGGTGGGTGCAGGTCCTAAAATACTAGACAACATTGATGATGGATCCATGGTCGTGATTGTTGGAGTAGCAATAACACTGCCGTTGCCGCCGTCCGTCAAGATCCCAGTAGGAAGCACAGAGAGTAAAGAAGTGAGTGAAGTCGCAATAATGGTTCCATTGGTCTGGATGGGAAGTGGGATATCGCTAGTGATAGATGGGAGGTTGGTGGCGCTTGAGAGCAGGCTCGAAATATCGATAGTTGGGGCAGTGACATTAATAGCATAATCCGAGGTATGAATAGGCAATACACTTGAAGCTACTGAGGACACGTCAATGATCGATATCACAGGAGCAAGAGTATCTACAAACACGGTTACGTTAGCTCTCGAAAATGATTAAAAGTAATAAACAGGAAAATAATAATAGTGAATTACCATTCAAGTTACTTGGTAGGTTAGATGGGAGAACGCTTTGAATGACTGAGGTAGGTAAAATGCTTTGGACATTTGATGTGTCGGGCAAGGTTGAGTTTGCGATATCGGTAACCTGGGAGACAGCCGAAGAAACCACATTGCTGGCAACAGAAGAGACACCGGCTACAACAGAAGTGGCCTCTGAGACAATCCCGCTGGCAACTGACGTAACACCAGATACACCTGAATTGAGAGCTGAAGTGGCACCTGAGGCGACTGAGGAAACGCCAGAAGCGACAGAGTCGACGGCTGAAGTGACTCCTGAGACGGCCGAAGAAACGCCTGAAGCCGCGGAACCAACAGCTGAAGTAACACCTGAAGCCATGCTGTTGGCAACAGAAGTAACATCACTTACAAGAGAAGATGCTCCCGAAGTTACAGCACCGGCAGCAGAAGTCACTTCCGAGAGTGCACTACTGACAACGGCGGTGGCACCAGATTCGATAGACGAGACCGCAGACCCAGCACCAGAAGTGATTGCTGCAATACCTGAACTTACACCTGAAGCAGCAGAGCCAGCGGCAGAAGTAACATCACTGACAATAGAAGAAACACCAGAGACTGCGGAACCAACAGCCGTAGAAACACCTGAGGCTACACCGTTGGCAGCGGAAGTAACATCGCTGATGAGAGAAGATGCCCCCGAAGTTACAGCACCGGCAGCAGAAGTCACTTCCGAGAGTGCGCTACTAACAACTGCGGTGGCATCAGACGCGATAGACGAGACCGCAGACCCAGCACCAGAGGTAATTGCTGCAACACCAGAAGTTACGCCCGAAGCAGCAGAACCAATTGTAGAAGTAACATCGCCGACAACAGAAGTTGCTCCTGAAACAACAGCGCTGGCAACAGACGTGGCATCAGATGCAATAACTGAGACCGCAGACCCAGCAACGGAAGTGATACTTGCAACACCAGAAGTGAGACCTGATGCAGCAGAGTCGACGGCAGAAGTAACATCACCAACTACAGAAGTCGCTCCTGAGACAACAGCACTGGCAACAGACGTGGCATCAGATACTACAGAGTCTACTTTGGAGGCCGCTTCAGAAGCAACAGAGCTAACGGCAGAAGTAACATCGGAGGCTACAGAGCCGACTGCAGAGGTTACATCTGATACCACATTGGAAGCGGCAGAGCCGGCCGCGGAAGTAACACCGGAGGCTACAGAGCCGACTGCAGAAGTTACATCCGATACCGCACTGGAGGCAACAGAGCCGACCGCAGAGGTAACTCCAGAAGCTACAGAGCCGACCGCAGAAGTTGCATCTGATACCACACTGGAAGCCACAGAGCCGGCCGCAGAAGTAACTTCGGAGGCCACAGAGCCGACCACAGAGGTGGCATCTGATACCGCACTGGAGGCAACAGAGCCAGCTGCAGAGGTAACGCCTGAAACCACAGTATCAACCACAGAAGTGACATCCGCAACTGCGCTGGATGCAACAGAAGTAACTCCAGCGACTATAGAATCAACCACAGAAGTAGCACCGCCAGCAGCAGATGTGACATCGGTGACTACTGATTGGACAACTGAAGTGGCGTCCGAAACTGCCGATTGCGCCACAGAAGTGACCTGAGAAACCACATCTTCCACCTTTGAAGTAACCTCCGACACTGCAGAAGTCGCCTTAGAACCGACCTCCGATACAACGCTCGTAGCCCCCGAAACCACCGCGCTAACTTCAGAAACGACCGGCGAAACAACCGCCGAAGTAACCTGAGAAACAACCGGCGCAACAACTCCTGAGGTTACCTCCGAAACAATCGAGCTTGGCGCCTCAACTACGCCGTCAACAATGTTAAGAATTCCACTTGACGAAGCGGTGGTGGTCGAAGGAGCGGTAGACTCTGGGGTCGACACACTGGCGGTAGTTGTAGCATCGGAGCTTGGGGGCGGGGCGGGTAGGGCTGAGGACGGAAAGAGCGACGAGAGGAATGCGCTGAGGTCGGTGCTAGCTGCAGAGGATGCTGTTGTTGTTGAAGAAGGGACGGGTGGGGCTGGAGGCTCATTGGGGTCTGCGAGAATCGAGTTGTTAATAAAGTCGGTGACCGCTCGTTTGATATGTTTAGGGAAGTAGTGGGATGGTGTTGGCGCTGTGGGTGGTGCAGGTGGTGCATCTTGGGCGGTGGTTAAGCTGAGTGTTGTGAGGAGCGTGAGCGTGAAGATGATATTGGGAGTCTTCATGATTGTGGTTGTACTATGAATTCGAACCTATGTGTGAATAAGACCTTTCTTTTTTGTTTTGTTTTCTTATAATAGCCCACATAGGTCGTCGTCCTCCTACTAATAATTGGGTCGGGTTGGGTTAGATCTTCTTACCTGTAATGTGATGCTTAGAGTAGCTACAGTAGGTACAGCCAAGTTACTTTGCTTAACGAGCGTAATTGACAACCGCCTGCGTAGAAAAAAACTGAATCAAATGAACGTGGGGCCTATGAAAGGGAAGAACCAAAGAAAAATCTCAAGGAAGGAATGTGTCAGCGCGCGTTGACTTTCATTCCACGAGGTGTAGGTAGGTTAGGTAGGAGTAGGTAGGGGAGGGTGAGGTAGGGAAAGGCATGGTGTTATAGATGGGTGTGTGGGTGGGCGGGTGTTGGTAAAAGGGGGTCAAAAGTAGGGGTGAAACTTACGGAAAGAAGAAAAAAAGCCTCCAAGCGAACAACCACCAACCCCAGAGCCCAAGACCCAAATTTTAACCGCGGAGTCTTTTTCTTTAAGAACCTCGCGCTGGCTGTCAAAGTACCTGGCTAGCTCTGAGACCCTCCTACCTTCAATAGTTGACTATGGCGGGGAGGGAATCAAATGCAGATATATGGGGTCTTGCTTGCTTGCGCTGCATGAAATTAGCGGGATTCTTTTTCGCTTCTGGTCTCTGGCACCACTCGTATGTAGCGGAAATCCCACTTGTTACACACCCAGTCCCTACCCAAACAAAGAAACAAAAAATCACAACAATTGAATGGCGCGCGATAGAATGATAAGGCATAAAAACTTACAGTATTAATTAGCGTGCTTAGTTATCACTTGATAGTAAAGTTGGGAGAAAGATTCGATCCCTTGGAGTTGTCGGGGAATGCGCTTTTGAGACAGTAACAGCGTCTCGTCTTTCCGTACGTACGTATACGTCAGGAAAGAAGTTGCAGGAAAGTAGCACTGTAGCAGCAATGGACGAACGAGACAAACGAATGAAAGGGAGAGAGAAGGTGGGGTTGGGTGTACTTTCTCAAGGGAAGGGGGGTGGAATAGAATCAATGAGGGATCAGAGAGGGAAAGGACAAAGTAGTGAGTGTGAGGACAGTAAATTGCTCTGCAGGTGCCCAAAACGAGTGATGAGAGTAGGCGGCGAGGAGGGGGGCTATTGACTGGGGAAAGTCAGCAATGTAGAGGCAGAGCAGGTCGGCCGTTAGAGTACAAGGGAGGGATGGATGAATGAGGAGGGTAGGATAATAGTAGTGGGAGGTCCACTGGGGCACGGGGGAGCTGCGCAATTACTATTACCTTTTCGCCCACAAGCACCGGGAGTAACAAGCAAAATTGGGAGAGGACGTAAAAAAAGAGTGACAATGAGGTTGTACAGCCCCAAAAAGAACTGTCAGAAAGAGGAAACAAGAGACCGCAGAAAACAATGTAAGCAAAAGAGAGGGTAAAATGAAGGTGGTGAGGTAGATAGGTACCGATCAAGGTACTCACTCTACTTCGTTGGTGGTGAGGATGCACTATCGACAAGAGATGAGCGTTCTAATGGGAAGCAAGAGAAAGCGATGAAAAGTAATGGCAACGCGAAGAGCATACCCGCTCGGGAAGCCGGTCAGCCAAACATTGCCCCCACCACACGATGCGTAATTAAATGTAGTGCTGCAGGGTACATGTATATATTATGGTACTTACGGTATATAGAGCACTTATGTCGAATACGGCACTGTACATGCAATGAAAAGTACCACGGCCTTGAGTATTGTAGCAGTATGTAGCTATAGCAGTAATAGGTTAAGGGCTTTGTAATTTTCTAACAGATCCTTAAGGCTGTAACCCGTTTTGCATCTAGCTAGTGTCCAACCAGCGAAGCGAACTGGGCTTCGTGATGTTGAAAAATACAAAGACACGAATCAGGCCAGCTAGGCATCTTTGTGTGCTTCCTATTTTGTCTGAGCTTCCACTTTCAGGACGCTTCGTTTCGGGTTCGCAAGCTGCGACAGGGGTATCTTTCAGTTGGTTGGTTAACATAATCCATGTAACCCTCCCCCCCCATAAAGTTAATAGATTAGAGACAAGGGTTTTGAGCATGGCAGATTCGGAAAGGCCCCGCACCTTCCGGCCATCATCCTCATCTCCGCCCCTAGGGTTACCGACTCTTTAGCAGGAGTTGCTAGATAGTATTCTATGTAACGATAACTCTATCTACTAAGGTTGTTAATATAATGCGTAGATTATACTAGTAAAGATAATCTCTAAACCACAGTTTAGTACGACATTTGTATGTAGAATACGTAGCATTCCTGCTGACATTTTTCTTTGTCTTCCCCTTCTACGGAGACTTCCTTTATCCAAGGATGTGAAGTACATGTAAGTATCATATATTGACGTGGGTGCGATGAAATTTACATATATGTACCTATATAGCACAAATATGTACGCGTGTGGACGGTCTGTACGGCGCAGAAACATTTTGCGTCGGATCAGTCACAATCTCATGGTAAAAGGTTTCCTTCCTATGGGTCAGTAAGAAAACCCATCTCTATGTCACGTCAGGTAGAATGAATCCCTTGAATGCACTTCTTAGTCTCATGTTTGCCATCTAGAAACGTGCGCGGAAGATTTGCGGAAGAACAAGATCTTAAGAAACGGCAGTCATTTGAGCTGTTTCAAGCCATACAGATTCAGGAACAGGAACAGATGCCGCCTCTCCCCTATGGGGGAATGTATTAAGCCTAAATTGGTAAGGTCAACTTTTACCGAGGGTGGCTTGCATGCCCCACGCGCCCCTCAACGGGCAAACGTTAGTTCCTTGATGTGTGCTTTTTTTAGATGTACACTGAGACAGCCCTAACCCTTCCATTGGGAAGTGTCGCTTTTGTTAGAATTCGATAGTTAGTGATATCCAGGAACAGAGAAGCGCTTACTTGTCTTTGCGGAAAGGAAAACAGCTCACCTCTCTACACATGTACTCTAGAGTTAGTACATGATATTTCCCTCTGATTAGGCTCCATATGGATTTGCGGCCACCCAAAACCAGTCATATCCAGTGCCCAGAATTGAATATCTAGTTTATCATCGTGCCATATTGGTTTTACCCATTTTAAGTCTGGATGTGCCTGTTCGGGTTGATTTGCTGACATGCATTGCCACAGTGCGTGAGGCATGTATTGTAGAGTAATCACGTAGGTACATGTACTTGTGTATGGGCCTAGACACCCTAGAATGAGCAAAAAAAGTGGATCATCTAAGCAGGTACAATACAATGAGTGCCTACATGATGTCGATCAGCAGCGCCGCACAGTTCAACTACGCCCGATTCGCCCAATGATGTTTTGGTACATACACGCACTTAAGATTTCTCTTCTTGCGCCAATTTAAGGTTTCCTGCGCGGAAAGGGCCGGCAAGGGCCTTGTCAGAAAGCCTTAGCTCTATGTATCATCGTGAATAGATAAGTAAGGAATTGGCCTGGACACACAAGGAACCCACGATGTAGTTGACTAGGTTCTAGGGATTTGTGCCGTATCTTAGATTCCGCGGGCCAGGTGTATGGTCTCAAAGAAGCTCGCTGCGCTACCGACTTTTTTGTTTTCGAGAAAGATGAAGGGTGAACGAATACCAGGCTTTGTGGAGGGATGGGAGGTTAAAGTGAGGGGTTGACGACAATTTTCGCTAGTAACCCCTGTTCATTGGATCTCACTCGTGATTAACCAACCCTTACTTCTAGGATCGTGGCTTTCTTCCCTCGGATCGGGCTCGGCCCTTTGATCCTTAATTTGCCACTTCTTTTCAAGCGTTGAAGTGCCTACCGTATGTACGTTCCCACAAACTGATCTGGGACTGAATACAAATGCTGTTAGCCACGTGTAAAGACGTCGATTCGGTCATATGATGATGTAACAAATCCATCTACATAGATTTGGAGTATCTCGCTCTGCCCTAGAACATAATTGTCTAGTGATTATTCGAGTCAAATTTTTGTTTTGGATTAGGTTATCTATAAAAATAGAACATCTACGTTTAGTCCTAATTAGCTAAGATGTTCCGGCTCAGTTATCGAAGACACCACAGGGCGCTTAGAATCAGAGGTAGCTCTGCGCCGGGTAGCTGCTTAAGCTTTTGAATATCTTACATAGCTATAGGGCGGCTCTGTTTAGGGCATACTCTAGATGGTCGATGAGACATGAAGCCCTGTCCTGCTATAACTAACTTACGCTTCCGGCGAAGATCGATAGTTGGTGACTACATGTATTAGGAAAAGAAGCGAGTAGCAGTGGATGAATCTAACTTACTAGTATCAAATGTTCCACTACTAAAAGCTACCAAAGAGATGGAAGTTAACATTGCGCAGCAATTCATACCATAATATCAAGCAAATCCTAAGTACTTAGACCAAATTCTCTACTCAGAAGTTAGAATTGATAAAACTCCGAAAGACCAGTATTTCTGTACACAAATGTTTTCAGCGTCTGTTGCGCATGCCGCAAAATTGACACGCATGTATTCAGAGAAAGATTGAAAGCCAAGCCATATTAAATAAGCCAATCGGTATATTTTGTAACACACGGAGGAGAAACATGATGGTGTGGTTGCGCAAAAGCCTTCATGCATATCAGCGCAACTCCCATTTTGACAGTGACAACCCATATGCATGCTGGTAAAGGTAGGTAAGATGCAGACTCACCAAAGTAGGTACATAATGGTTGGGTTCTTCCTTGTAACTCCAAGGTTCTGCTCCATTTGCTTGACAAGCGTGATGCACTTTGAATTTCTATTTTCTTGTGTTTTGTCCTTAGACGGGAGAAATGATTGCTATGTGGAACCTTCATAAGCCCCACAAACCTTTCCACGATAGGTTACGTCGTCAGAGCTCTCACCTAGAGTACATGTAGGTACTGTACATACACTGCCATCAGGCCGGGGATCGATTTCAAAAACGTGGCATGTCGCGTCATCGGCATACCCAAGTTTAGATACATCGTCGTTTTCTTTATTTTATTCTAACTCGTTAGCGAATTACATGTACAGTAGTTCTTTCTCCAGAAGTTTGTTCAAGTTATATTTGGACAGGGTTTGCTTTGCCTTACATCCGGTGAGTGATACGAAGGTACGATTTTTTATCCATGCGCGGTTACCTACCACTCGTGTGTGCAGCTTAGTGATATTCGATGTGCACTGGTTCTCACTCGTGATATGTAGGACAGAGTTACGTAGAGAGAAATCAGTAACCAGCCCCATAGAATGGAACGATGAGTGATAGATGGACGTATCACAGCTGGGGGAGGTCAGGCTCAAGAAGTGATTGTAGTGGGGTGGCCATGGGGTTGTTGCGCAATATATAGGTGTAATTGTAACCACATACATACCACCCAAGCATCTACCCGCCGATTGTAGTACACATATACATAGCTGGGCTCCAGATAAATGTGCTGCACACGTATATTTGTGTCCTCCTAAGGATCGCAGTCGGGATGAAAGAAGTTTGATTGAAGTAGCCGATATAAAGCGATCTCGATAGGATGGGAAAGGCGAACTACGATAGGTTTGGTAGACGTCGCGTCGACTTTGCTGTCAGTTTATCAGTGTTGTTCTCAACTGCTAAGTACATGTACGTGTAAGTTCCGGAGACCCTTATTTTTTTGTTTGTATACGTGTATACTAATGAAGCAAATGCTTGAAATACCAAATCTTGACAACGGTGTCATTCTGGGCTTTATCTTCCAGGAACTGGTACATAAATGTACGCATAGACGGTTTCCCTGGCCATTCGGACACCCCCCTCACTCGGACAGTTAACGTAGAAAAGAGAGGATCAACGTTGTAAGTGGCTTCTGCACCAATCATCATTGACTGTCCGAGTGAGGGAGTCGTCTATATGTTGGTTAGAACATTAAAGTCAACCACTAAACCCAATCGCACCTACGTTCGGGAAACCGGACCCCTTTTGGTATTCAGCATAGAAAAATTTACTCCTTGCATAATGCGAGTAAGAGTGTGGTAGCGAGTCTATACACTGTTTGATTGGGGCTGCGGCGGGCAGCACGAAGAAGATTTGAAGTTCCACAGAATTTCAGGTTATATGATCCAATTACCCGCGAAGGCCGCGGGCTTGTGGCTTAATCTAGAGCTGATGAAAGGTATCAAGCAAAGGTCTTCGTACGTTGATTGAACTTGATTTACATCAACAGCTGTACAGATGAATAGATACATATTCACTAATGTATATGGTAGACCCAGGCAATTGTCGGGGAATGACAACCATTAAAAGGGGCTCGGGTCGAGCTCAGCAGTAATAGTTATATCGAAATAATGAACTGCCCTATATATCGAAGTTATAGGACTATATTTTTCTTATTATTCCAGGACTCGGACGATCGCGGTCCCGCCACTTACCCTAAATCAAAAGCGGTATGAGAGCCGTGCGCCACTAAATCGTATATATGTCAAATCTTTATATGTGTAGTTCAGATGGTTTGCTTACGTCTGAATATTTGGTTGGATTTGTCCAACGCAATAATGCGCCGGAATAATCCTTTTGGATATGGTGATTATAACAGGAGAAAGGATGAATAGAAATATCTAATAAACAATATGCATCATCCTCCACCTAGTCACTTAACAATGTTAAAGTACCAGTCTCAGATCGATCTCCCCCACATTCCGCGGAAGTTGAAATTGCACAGCTGCAGGGTCTCCTTGATGTTTTGAAATATGTGTTATGTTTGACAGGGTGAGTTCCAGTGACAGGTGATTTTGGCTTTAGAGTTTAATTACCAAATTCAGAAATCAGGAATTATATAATATCATAGATCGATCTATTAATTTTATCCAGTATATGGTTTAGTTATATACATGTAGTCACAGGACATCACTCGACAGAAAATAAACTCCATTTGCGACTTTATTCAGTGTTTTACCAACTATTTGTTGTGACGAACTTCAGGGGATATGTTAAGTGACTAGGATACAAAAGTTGAAATCCTAAAAGGTAAGATACATGTTATAATAATAAAGGTGAAGTAATATTTCTTCTCTACGCCATGATTTCAATCTTCTCGATTGTTAATATAATAATCCCTACGCAGCCTTTTTTCCTCGGCAGATGTATCTCTTAGGGCATCTATTCCCATATCGTCAAAGGCGTCCTCGTCATTGTCGCTCCAGGTTTCTTCTATCTCAATCTCAATCGCCTTCCCCTTCCCCTTCCCCTTCACGTCTTTTGAGGGCTTTGCGGGAACATTTACGGGTTTGGTAGGAGCTATAGACTTTTTGAGAGGTGCGATGATACGTGCGACCTTCTTGGGGCCGGGGGTATCACGGCGAGAAGCAGCGTCAGGCTCGAACCGCCTCTTAGGAGTGGGAACACGGGAACTAGAGGCAGTAGATATCTCCACATGTTGAGGAGATGTATAACTCATGAGAGTGTTGGAAGTGGCTCCATGATATTGTCTTCTTGGAGAGGAAGTCTGGGAGCTTGAGGCGGTGATTTCCTTCCAGTATCTGACGGGAGTCGGGGTCTCGACAACAGCGGGAGCCTCCGCAACAGCAGGAGATTCAGCAGGAGACTCAGCAGCAGCAGGAGCCTGAGTCTCAACAGCGATGGCCTCATATTGCGTCTTGAGGATGTTACTAGGGATTTTAGGTCCTGTTATCTCGTTATCACTAATCGATGTGGGAGTTTCGTCAGTGGCAGCAGTGGTGACAGTGACAGACTCATGGCGTCTCTGAAATATGGGTGTGCTAGAACTGGAAGCAGTAGCTATCTCTGAGTGTTGAGTTTCAGGGAGAGTCGGGGCACTTTCGATAGTAACTGCAGACGCAAGGAGGAAAGCAGGAACGGGGGTAATAGTCGGTGTGGCGATCGGCACCGAGGTTAGGGGCACTTGATCACCTGGAATGGCTGTAACAGCGGCCAGATTGGATACATCTGGAGCCAGAGCGGGTGCGAACTTGAAGGTTGCAAGATCGGGAACAAGAGGAATGGAACACGTAGGTGTAGGAGACGTGGTAGTATGAGTGATAGACCCACTGGTCGGATCGGACACAACCCGATAAGCGGTGAGGGGATCGGACACGCCTGGAGCAAAAGCTGCGGCTGGTGTGTGGATAGGTTCGAGAAGGATTTCGCGGATAGGAACTGGAGGAAAATAGCAGACGGGGGCGACCATAAAAGGAGCAACAGAAAATGATTGGTGCTGAGCAGTCCCAATATTAACGCTCTGGATGGAGATAACTTCCAACCCTGTCTCCTCTATTTCCATCTCCTGGCTGGAAGTAACTTCTAGTCCTATTTCCTCTATTTCCATCTCCTGGCTGGAAATAACCTCTAGTTCTGACTCTTCTATTTCCATCTCTTGAGATTCACAATTCTCAGAGGTGTAAGAAATGTCGTCCATGGTATCCTCTTGATCCTGGCGGTCTTCGTAGAAAAGCTGAGCGTTATCTATCATCTGGAGATCGAATGGGGCCTCCTCCATCTCCTCATCTCCTACGGCCTGCCCATCCCATCCATCCATCATTTCTTCGTCTTTGTCTCCTGTTACTTCTAGACCAAACTCTTCGCATTGCTCCATTTCTACGGTGGCATCCTCAAAGCTCTCATCCTCAGCGGTGAGAGGAGGCGAAAAAACATCTTGCATGTGGGTTACATGATCAAACCCAGTAAAATAAAGCGCCCCGGATAACTCTGGGGTCAACACAGGAGACTGGAGCCCTTTTACAACGTCGTAGACTCGGGTAGGAGTAAGGACTTCGATGCTGGAAATGGGCCTGGCGACTTCGAAAATGGGGCGCCTAGAGATTTCTGTAATAGTGTCTCTATCCAGAGCCTGGAAGACTGGGAGGGTAGTAGTGGTCGCAACTTCAGGGACGGTAGAAACTTCGGCAACGGTAGAGTGGTGATCTTTGGAAACAGCAACGTCAGGGACAGCGGTCCTAAGTCCCAGGACACCAGGAGTGGGGTTATTACAAAGTACTTGTTTCCCCTCCATCACAAACTCCCCACCCTGTTTCACCTCTGCGCTGACCTTCTCGGGCTCTTTAACATGCATTATCAAGCACTCAGTAATTTTAATTCCACCCTCAGTGATAATAGCCTCGCTGACTTTAGCCTGAGGAGTACTGTGCTTCTGGGTTTCAATTTTCTGGAGCCCCGTAGTACCTCTGATCTGGATGGGCTCTTCTTCTTTGGGGCGTACCTGCTATACATCTGATTAGTATCAGGAGATAATGTGCTTGCAAAATAAATGTATATGTTTCCGTCGCTTTTGATGGAAACATATCCTGCAGGAAAGGAGTAAAACGGAGGCAATTATACCTCTACGGCATCTTCTTCCCTCGCTTCCTTTTCTTTCTTCACCCCAAGATCTTTTACTTCTTTCTCCTCTTTGTTCTGCGCGATAACTCTCTCTCGTGCGCACTCGGCAGGCATGCATTCGATAGCTATGTTGTCAACAATGCGCGATTCAACAGGTAACTATATATGTTTGTTTAGCTAAAAATATCAACAATCACCCAAGAAATACAAGCTCACCTTCTCTACGCCTTCAAGAGATCCTGTAGCCGCGTCATCGGTTTTTTCAGCCAACTCTTTCCGGGATTCCTGGTCTGTTACTGGCTTTTCCATGCTTGCCATATTTTCTGTCTTTTTGATCATTGACTTCGGTGTGACAATGTCAATGATCGGCTTGGCAGCCACAACAGCACAACTAACAACCGGTACTTTCTTTCTCCCCCTTTCAGCTGGTACGTCCCATATACTAGCTCTATTAACAACAGTTAAGCAGTTCTTCAACGAGTTTGAGCCGCGCTGCTTGTAGTAGTCAGAACTCTTGCGATAAAGCTCGGACCTTTGCCTCTCGCTAAAGTTTGACCTAGAAGATGATTTGAACGGGCTGGGGCAGCGCGGAGGGGGACGTTCTTTGACTGGTGGTGGTTTGTGTATTTCCACCGGCGGAGGAAGTATAACACGCTCAATTACGGCCTCGGCCCCTGGCTCGGCTTCGATGGGGGTCGCAGCTTCAACTGCCGCGATAACCTCATCCCAGATGAATTCTACTCCCACAACTACGTATATCAGCATATGAGACAAACATTATAAATGTGTAGGTGTGGGTGCTGCGTACCGTTCTTCTCGAACCACTCCCGGCTCGCTTTTATTCTCTCCACCAAGTCCGCTTGCACCCACAACTTCCGGACATCCTGCGCCGCTTCGATAGCTGCGCTGTACAGTAGATGCACCCCCGGGTGTATGCGCCAAATGAGTGACTTGAGGCCTTCGATACAGACCCCAACCGCAAGGAGCCCAATGTTACAGCAGGAGACTGCGAACTCGATCTCGCCCTGGTAGAGCTCGAGTGGGAAGAAAAACGAGAGGGTGGATGAGAGTGCGAATGGGACGGCGTGGTTGAAGACGTAGAGGAGGCAGAGGGAGGCGGCAACGTCGTTGAAGGGTAAGAAGTAGAATGAGAGGGCGGTGAAGAGGACTTGGAGGGCGAGAGAGAGGGGGGTGAAGTGTGTGGTGAGGAAGAGGTGGAGGTAGGGAAGGAGAGGGAGGAAGAGGTGATGGTAAAGTTCTTGGTACAGGTCCGTGAGGAATGTGGTGATCAGAGTCATTTTGAAGGACGAGTGTGAGTTTAGAATATGGAGTGTGGAAGTTGGGAGGGTATGTATGGAAGTTGGGGGAGTATGTGCGGAAGTTGGGGGGATGTGTGGAAGTTTGAAGTTGAGAGTGTGGGATGTTGAGATTGATGATGGTGATGGGAAGATGGAGGATTTTTTTCTGATAATTGTGGTGGGAGGAAGTGTGGTCGAGGTAGGTTATGCTAAGACGCCAAAGTGAAAGGGGGCTTCGAGTTCTGGGTATAAGCTTCAACGTTGTTTGTAGGAAACACCCACCCCGTTACTGGAATTTATGCTTGACAATATCGGCCTAGCTACCGGTATCAACCCTCGATCTAGTTGCAACAGCTATGAACATCAGGGGAAGAAGATACCAGGCGGTAAATCCCAATAACCTCCACCCCTCGTAGTGGCCAATCCCCATTTCTATTCACAACGAGCCGTGCAACTCTTCGAACATTGTCAACCAATCATAACCCCACTTCTACAAGCCTCAATTCTATAGTGGTGTAGTACATTGTACTCCCACTTCTATTAAATAAGCAGCCAAGGAGAATCTAGATAAGATTTCTGACAGGCGTCACGGGATATCACTCGGTTCTGAAGTCGAAGGTCACATGGACCTAGACAATAACATGTGGGGTTGACCAGCTGTTACCTAGATCAAAGTCTTTTTTTACCCTTGACCTTAGCCCTAAGTTTTCGTGTTTAGGGTTCAGTCCTTTGCAGAAGTGGGGGTGTATAAGCGCAAAGTCCCAGTACCTACACCTCCAACACCACAATTATCCACAACAAAGCACAACTCCTACCAACCGCCATTCACCCACCGCACACTGCCAGACACTCGAGGAGTCTGTTCTCATATATGACCCGAGAACACCCCTCCTCTGTGGTAGAGGAGGGGTGTTCAGTGTGCACATACATGAGGACCGCCTGCTGCGGGTATCTGGAGGTGGGTTGGGGCTAGGAGAGCGTGAGCCTTTTCAACTCTGCAGTTGGCTTAACGTCAGATCGATACTTGGGGAGTCGGTTCTCATGTTGGAGATGAGAACACCCCTCCTCTGCCATAGAGGAGGGGTGTTCGGTGCTCTTACATGAGGACTGCCTGCTACGGGTTGTCTGGACAAGCCTTTTTGGCTCGCAGTGCTGCGCTGGTGGGCCGGCTGTCGGGTCGGATACTCGGGGAGTCGGTTCTCGTGTATGACCCCAGAACACCTCTCCTCTAGCACAGAGGAGAGGTGTTCAGTGTTGTTACATGAGGACTGCCTGCTGCGGGTGTATAACTGGGGGCGGGGATTCCTCGGTCTCCGCGCAGCGCAGGTCTAGAACTCGAGCAGAGCAGCTAGCTATATATACCCGCGGCGACTCGAGCTTTTTTGGAAACAAACTCGCTCGTCGGCCGTACGACTCTTGGGATAGGCTTTGGGATGTATTTACTGCCAGACATGGCGCAACTCGCAGCTTGTGGTGCATGTTTGGTGAAGTGTCTCTAGGCAGCTACTATACTACCGGTCACGTCAATATTACGGCATGGGATATCACTCGACGGGCCTGGGCGCCATGTTACCACAAGCAAGCCCGGCCCGGGGGGGTACTTCTTCTGTATTACTTTATATACTGTGGTGCGCGCACTGAAGGGTGGTCGCCGATGGAGCGGCAACCTGCCTGCGGGCGAGCCTCCGCGTGTTTGTTTCCTGGGTTTAAGTTTCACAGGCTAGATCTTATAAATTTGTGGTTGGGTAGATCAACATATGGGAGGTGGCAGGATAAGTAGAGTATATTCTAGTCAGAGCGTAGGTTATGGAGGTATTGCATGTAATTACAGCCTGAGGTTAGCGATGATCATGATAAAATATCGATTCCACGAGAGTTGATGCTGTGTCCTTATGGGTTACAATAATAGTTAGCAAAACTGTATTCATACATGTAGTTGGTAGAGAGAACAGATATACCGGACTAGCTGGTATATCTTCACAGCTAGAGACTCTTCCTCCTCCTCATCTACACTGCATTGAGAGTGCTCTCATGTGGCTTAGGAACAAAGCTGAGGATACGATGATACATGTATTTACTCGACCGCGACACTGGTAACGAAAAGAATGAAGCATCTCTTCAAGTACCTACAACCCCACCCGACGTCATCCGGCGCCACACGGCCCACACCTTTCCCTGGATCGGACCCTGAGCAGCCAGAGCACGCTAGAATCGAGCTGAGCTGAGCTGAGCTAAGCCGGATCGTGTGATTTGCAGACCCCGGATCATGTGCAGAATCCGGGCACAACAACAGAACTCTGCGCCCGCCCGCCCTGACAACCGAACCTCACCCGAAACCCAGCTTTTTTTCTCTCCCGCTGTTCCGAAACCCACACCAGCACAACACCCCACAAACCCTGGTTCAGCTCTTTCTTTCTCTTCTGTCCCTTCTTTGCTTGACATCTGTCTGTCACTCCATTATTGCATTTTTTGACTTTTCATCGGCGCACAAAACAGCTCCATCACGAGGAAATAAAATAAAAAAGAAAAATTCAAAGATCATACCACCCTTGGCCCAACCAATAGTTCGAACAATGCTTGCCACACAGCAACGGCTCCTTGCCCGCCGCCTCAACTCAGTAACAGCAGCAACCCCATCACGAGCCCTACTTCTACGATGCAGCAGCAGCAGTAGTAAAAGAAGTGTTTTTTCCGTGGGTCCACAGAGAACACCGGCGGCGACGGTATGTTTCCAGCCACGTCGCGGCATTGCGACAGGGCCGAATGGGCAGAGGAGAGGGATGATGTCGGCGATGGCTGAAGTGCAGGAGGAGGACGCGATCGATGATGTCGGGACTCAGGGTATCTATCCCCACCTACCCCGGGGAGATAATGGGCGGCGGCGGGGCGGGAGCGGTATGGCTGACCGAGTGACAGGTGTGATCAAGGGCCCAATAGACCAATACCAGCGCTGGGTCTCAGAAGGAAAGCTACGAGACGATGAATACCAAAGAGGTACATACCTTTCTTACCCCCCTCTCTGAAAGCTCCAGATCTAACCACACGCTCCCTAGGCATCGTCATGAACCTCCAAAAGCTCCACGACGATCTCCAAAGCTACAACCCCCCCACTGTCGTCCACCCCACCATCGACTCCCTCACCCCGCCCCCACCCCGCTCCTTCCTCTCCTCCCTCCTCTCCGGCCCCCCTCCCCCACCCGCCACCACTGTAATCCCAGAAAACACGCCAAAGGGCCTCTACCTGTTCGGTGAAGTCGGCTCCGGCAAGACAATGCTCATGGACATGTTCTACCACACCCTCCCCGAGCACATCACCTCGAAGACTCGAATCCACTTCCACGCATTCATGCAAAACGTGCACAAGCGTCTCCACGTCCTCAAAACCACCCACGGGCCCGACATGGACGCAATCCCCTTCGTCGCCGCCGACATCGCCGCCGCATCCAGCGTCCTGTGCTTCGATGAGTTCCAGTGCACGGATGTCGCCGACGCAATGATCCTCCGCCGCCTCCTGGAGGCACTCCTCTCCCACGGCGTAGTCGTTGTCGCGACGTCGAATCGTCACCCAGACGACCTGTACAAGAACGGGATTCAGAGGAGTAGCTTCCTCCCCTGCATCGCACTCCTGAATACCAAGCTCACAGTTATAAATCTTACCTCCCCCACCGACTACCGCAAGCTCCCTCGGCCAGCATCAGGCGTCTACCACCATCCTCTCGGCGCCGACGCCGTAGCGCATGCCAATCGATGGTTCACGTACCTCAGCGACCCAGCTGACCCGCCGGGCCCGCGCAGCCACACGATCTGGGGACGGGAGGTGAAAGTGCCGATGGCGAGTGGGAAGGCGGCCAGGTTTAAATTTGCCGAGCTGTGTGGGAGCGCGACGAGCGCGGCGGATTATTTGGAGCTGTGTAGGCATTATGGCGCCTTTGTGGTGGAGGACGTGCCGCCGATGGATCATAAGAGTAGGGATTTGGCGAGGAGGTTTATTACGTTTGTGGATGCGGTTTATGAGAATAAGGTACCTATTCAGCTATTGCCCATCTAGCTATCGAGTACCGGGAAATCTAACACAGACAACAGGCGAAACTAGTACTTACAACCACCACCCCCCTACATCAACTCTTCGTCTCTGAAGCCGAGATGAAGGCCGCCGCCGACGAGGAAGGCGCAGACCTCGACAGCGCGATGAGGAGCTTGATGGATGATCTGGGCCTGAACATGAAGATGCTGAAGGACAGCTCCATCTTTAGCGGCGATGAGGAGCGGTTCGCGTTTGCAAGGGCGCTGAGCAGACTTAGTGAGATGGGGAGTGTTATGTGGATTGAGAGGGAGTAGGTAGTGGGGTGCAGTAGTGGTGGGGTAGTAGTAGTGGGGTGTAGGTAGGCGGGTAGATAAAGGGTAGATAGAGGGTTTGGGGAGCACAGGAAGGCGAGGCGTGGACTTTTGTTTTCTTGCAATGGGCTTATCGGGAGTTTTTTTTTGATATATATTGCTTTTTATTTCTTTTTTTCCCGTCTATTTATCTTGGTTTTCTTTTCTTATGTGGTGTGCGAGTGTGTTTTCTGTTTGGTTTGGTGTTGAGCCTACAATCTTTTTCCTTTCTTTTTTTTTGTGCGGATAGATACAGATACCATCATCATCGTCCAGTAGGAATTGGAGAAACCCAAAAACAAACGCTGCACACAAACGGCTGCTGGAGCCGCAATGGGTCTCGGTGTGTGTGCGTGTCGGTCTCGGGATCAGGAATAGACAGACATATATCGGAGCTCATATTCTCGGGATTCGGAGGCCACATTCCCTCTCTCCCCTGTCTATCTGTCTATCTATGTCTACAAGTATCTAGCTAGGGTTGAGCAACTGTGCACTGACTGTCTTATCTGGCTGCCAAATGAGGTATGTACAGCTCGGTTAGAGAGGATCCGGAGGTGATGACGATATCGATGGTGGTGGTGATGATGTTTACCAACCCGCTGAACGGACTGTTTAGTTTTTTGCGTTTGCTCTGCTCTACCCCCGGGCGATCAATCAGCGCATGAATTGCACGGATAAAGGAGCTAGCGGGCGGTCCTGGTTCCGTCTTGGAATGCTCTAGTCTACCTGCTCTATGCAGTAGAGTAGCAGCGGGGTGTACGGTGTACCGTGTGGATGTGGGTTGAATCAGTCCGTTTCCACGGCAACAGCAGCAGGAACGTTATTTAGCCCCACTCAGCCTTGCGGGAAATACCTTGGGATGGTTGAGGTGTGTGGGGTGGGAGGGCGGGTGGGTAGGTTACGTTTGTTGCCATAGCGACGACGGCCGTTCATGTTCTCAGGGGCAACAAACAACGGGGATGTCAATTGCAAGTGTGAAGGGGAAGAGAGGTGATATGTATGCACGGCACAGACACACAACTACTTGAACCAACACGTCCCACCCACTCACCACCCACCTGCTTGCTTGCTTGCTTTGCCCTTTGCTACCTACGTCTAGAATTTTATTTTCTGCTGGATCTCACTTTTCCTCCCTTTAATTCTCGCCCTCATCTCATCTCACGAACGTGTCCGATTTACGACTAGCAGCATACTACCCTTACCCTGCTCCTGCTCCTGCGCTCCCTCCTGCACACGCACACGCACGCGCGACTAGTTAGCTCCCCGCCACCCCCCCCGTGTTCCCGGCTAGGTATTGGGGGAAACCATATATATATTAGCAATTTGGGGGGATTTTTTTGTGTTTGAAACACTTTGTTTGGGGAAGTGACGGGAGAAACTAAAACATGGCGACTCCGTACGGCCAGTCAGGGCATCCTGATTTTGCGACTGGTGGGCCTGAGGGCTATGATAACGACCATGACGACAATGACGACCAGAGTGCCCTTGGGGCGCACGGATTGCCCAGTGGGCAGCAGATGAGGCTGCTAGGAAGTCTTGGGGACGAGGAGGATGAGAGTGGTTACGAGGCGTATGTGTTAACCCTCCCCCACCCACCCGCCCACAGCTCAATGAGAACGTCAAATGTTGACTGGTGCTGTAACGTGATATAGTCCGAGTGAACCAGGCAGGTCATACCATCCCAATAACCAGCAGTACCAAGAGCTTGCCCGACAGCACACGCCGCCGCCGCAGGTCAGGAATGTCAATACTGCCATCGGATATGAGTCGACTCAATCGCCAGCCCCGAGCTTTGGGGGGAGCCATACAGCGATTGGATATGATAACACACCGCTCTCGCCAGAGTCACGGTATGGGACACCGGCTTCACACTCGCGCCTTACTTCTACTCCATCACGCCTTTCGGAAAACCGTTCATGGACGCCCTCGAATGTGGGAGCGTGGACATCCAGCCAGCGGGGCGGAGGACCAGGGAGTGTACAGATGGATAGGTCTTCGACTAGAGGCGGCGGTGTCCCCATTGACAGGGCATGGACCCCGAGCCGGAATAGCGGTGTTAGGCAGCTTGATATTCGGCAGGTGGACTACTCGCGCCCGCCGCCCATGAATACGGAGCCTTACGTACCAAGGAGCTTGAATGGGACACCGAGACCGGGGAGCATCATAAGTAGTTACTCGAAGAGAAGCAGAGACAGCCAGCAGACACTGCCTGAGAGTGATTACCCAAGCGGTCAAATGAGGAATTCGTATCAGAGCGAGGAGACAATGATCCCCGTAGGCGATGATATCAGCGATTATCAGTATACAGATCTAGGCGACTCTCAGTACGGCCCCGGGGCTAGTAACGTGAGCGGTTACTCTGATGACCTGAAGCGCGAAATCACAAATTCGTCTTCTGGGGAGGATGGAAGAACCTATACGATGGGTACCGAAAGTGATGGCGGAAAGCTTGCGGCGCAGACTAAGGGTGCGCATTTCGGTCCTGCACCTCATGCACCACAGACGAGGAGAGGTCTTAATCGGCAAGCGCTCATGACAAAGAAACAAGTCAAGCTTATCAACGGAGAGCTTATTCTTGACTGTAAAATTCCAACAATTCTGTACAGTTTCTTGCCCAGGCGGGATGCACAGGAGTTTACGCATATGAGGTATACTGCGGTTACCTGTGACCCGGATGAGTACGCAAATCGTGGATATCTGTTGAGACAGAACATAGACCCGACCAGAAGAGAAACAGAGTTGTTTATCTGTGTTACGATGTATAACGAAAACGAAATCCTATTTACGAGGACCATGCATGGTGTCATGAGGAATATTGCGCATTTCTGTGCCAGAAGTAAGAGTAGAGTTTGGGGAAAGGATGGATGGAAGAAGATTGTGGTATGTATCGTCGCCGATGGACGTAAGAAGGTACACCCGCGTGTACTCGATGCGTTAGCTGCGATGGGCGTGTATCAGGATGGTATTGCAAAGAACTCCGTCAACGGTAGAGAGGTCAAGGCCCACGTTTATGAGTACACAACTCAGGTGTCACTTGATTCAGATCTCAAGTTCAAGGGTGCCGAGAAGGGTATCGTACCGGTGCAAATGGTGTTCTGCCTCAAGGAGAAGAATGCAAAGAAGTTGAATTCTCATCGATGGTTCTTTAATGCTTTCGGAGCTACATTATCCCCTAACGTTTGTATTCTTCTTGATGTTGGAACTCGGCCGGGGAATACCTCGTTGTACCATCTGTGGAAAGCCTTCGATACAGATTCCAACGTTGCTGGTGCGTGTGGCGAGATCAAGGCAATGAAAGGGAAAGGCTGGATGGGACTCTTCAATCCCCTCGTTGCGAGTCAAAATTTCGAGTACAAAATGAGTAATATCCTCGATAAACCTCTCGAGAGTGTTTTTGGATATATTACTGTGCTTCCGGGAGCCCTGTCGGCATATCGCTACCACGCACTTCAGAACGATGAGAATGGACACGGCCCCCTATCACAATATTTCAAGGGAGAAACGCTCCACGGGAAAGATGCGGATGTTTTTACGGCAAACATGTATCTTGCTGAGGACCGTATTCTTTGTTGGGAGTTAGTCGCCAAACGCTCCGAACGATGGGTCCTGAAGTATGTGCGTGCCGCTACCGGAGAGACCGATGTCCCCGACTCTGTCCCTGAGTTCATCTCTCAGCGTCGTCGATGGCTTAACGGAGCTTTCTTCGCAGCCACTTTCTCCCTGGCTCATTTCAAACAGATCTGGTCGACCGATCATACGTACCTCAGAAAGTTTTTGCTGCATATTGAGTTTTTGTACCAGTTCGCCTCGTTGGTGTTTACGTTCTTCTCTTTGGCGAACTTCTATCTCAGTTTCTACTTCATTGCAGGAAGTTTGGCAGACGCAACGATGGATCCATTTGGACATGGTTGGGGGGCAAGAATCTTTGTGTTCTTGAGGTTTGCGTGTGTGTTGCTGATATGCACCCAGTTTATCGTGTGTATGGGGAACCGGCCGCAAGGGTAAGTAAATTATTTTTCCCTGTATCTTTTGAATTATGTTTATACTAACCTTGTGGAATAGAGCAAAACGAATGTTCATGTCCTCAATGGTTGTGTACGCCGTAATCATGGCCTACACAACCTTCTGCGGAATGTATATTGTTATCAAATCTTTTACTGGCGGTGTCGGTGACCAAGTCACTGAAATCGTTCTTGGCGACAATATCTTCACGAACCTTATTGTCTCAGTCGGGTCCACGATGGGTGTTTATTTCCTCATGAGTTTCCTGTACTTGGACCCATGGCACATGTTCACCTCCTCCGCTCAGTACTTCATGATGTTGCCCAGCTACATTTGCACCCTCCAGGTCTATGCTTTCTGTAATACTCATGACGTATCTTGGGGTACCAAGGGTGACAACACAGTTTCCGTCGATCTTGGTGCTGCTGTCGCTTCAAAGGGCGACACTGTCGAGCTTGAAATGCCATCGGAGCAACTCGATATCGATTCTGGGTACGATGACGCACTTCGGAACCTCCGTGACCGCCTTGAAGTTCCCGAAGACGCTGTTTCAGAGGGTCAGATCCAGGAAGATTACTATCGTGCAGTTAGGACATACGTGGTTGTTGTGTGGATGGTTGCGAATGCTATTTTAGCGATGATTGTGACCGAGGCCTATCCCCTTAATGAAATGAGTGGGAACTTTTATCTGAAGTGTAAGTTCTACCTTACCACTCTTTCATCCTTGAGGTTGTTGACTAATTGTTTTTGTATAGTTCTTCTGTGGTCCGTTGCAGCCCTTGCCGTCTTCAGGGCCCTTGGATCAACAACATATCTGATCCTCCAGGGACTCCACCGATTCGTAGAAGGAAGGGTCAAGTTCGACCCTACCCTCATTACGAATAGATTCCAGCCAGCATGGAAACAGTCCTCATCGTCAAAGGTCAAAATAAGCATGCCATGGACTAATAAAAAGTTGGTACTTCCAAGTGTAAGCAACCTTGGGAAATCCGTGTAAAGGAGACGAAATTTTCTTTTATTTATGGCATGTGATAATGGGGATTTACGTCTTTCCTATGTCCTTTATGGTGTATATCTTCTTTATCTTTATGTATATTCTAGCGGGGCTGGGGTGCTCTTTTTTTCTCCTTATTTTCTTCTCTTCTGGGTAGGAGGTTCTGCTTTTTTGTTTGGGAGGCGCGGTAAGTAGGCCTGTAGGATTTTGATACCATGACGAGAATGATGTGCGGATATGTTCCTGTTTGTGTGCTTTAATGTGTTTTGTTATGATACCTACATGTAGGTGTATGAAAAATTATTATTTTTCGAAGCAAGCGAGCAAATAGATTGCATATGCATACTGCGTTGGGTGTGAATTCCCGTAGAGTGAGAATCTGTGATTCCGGGAATTGATGCTTTTATGCCGCTTCTCTCAAAACCCCTGTCGTGCATGCTGCTACAATTGTGCAGGTACGCCTGAAGATATTATTCGTTCGGGGTCCGGTTGACGATTTCGGAATTCATGTATGCCCAAATTCCAATTGTCAAATCCTGGGATTGCTGGATGCTGGATGCTGGATGATGTAGGTTGTCTGCTGCCCTGGTGACTTCTACAAAGCCAATGGGGCCCTTGAGGGGGAGACGAGCTGAGGGGTCATGAGGTCATTATATAGCACCTTGCTAGCGTGTCCTGTCATCTTGACACATGCAGGTGCCTTTCACTCAGTGAATCTGCAAAACCGGGGCCTGGATAAGGTTCCACAGCGTTCTTTAAATATTCCACGAGAGGAAACTATATGCTTCCTACAGGAAATATCTACCGGCCACGAGCACGAGGGACTTTTGGTCGGTGTTCTGTGATCATGATAAGAGACTACATGTACATAATGTAGTAGGTACATGTACATATGTGGCTGATATTTGAGCTTGATGGACAGGTCTGGGCGCACTCTTCTAGCAGAGCTTCGCTACCAAACCTTGGAAGTATTCATAATAATATAGGTAATTTTCTAAGGCGTATGATTTATGTACTTAAGGTACCAATTTATTCACGACAGAGTGATCGTGTTTAAAAGGTTTCTCTCAAACATGTAATTATCTACACAAGGCCAGTGTAAAACCCTAAACCTGAAATGCAGAAGACCTGCATCCATCTGTGTCTTGGCGCGTAAATTAGGTTGCTGTCGAACCCGTGTTCTTGTCTATCCCAACGCGTCGTCGTCGCGAACACCTTTTTCCAAAGACAAGCCCTCACCCATTCCCAAGTCACATACAAGCCCATTGTAGAAACCATTGAAAACCTTACTATAATACACGAAAAAAAATGCCACCTAGGAAGAGAGCCGCGCAAACGCTGAGCGCACATATCGATTCTAGCAGCGATGACGAGGCAGTAATTGAAGAAGGTTCGTGCAAATCCTAGAGCTTCGCTTTCATCAATTGGACGGAAGGCTAATGGCGGGTCATAGCCAAGGTTGTTTCAGTCTCGCAGAAGAAAGCTACGGGGAGGCGTGCTACTGCTACAAGGAAAGCATCAACCACTGTGGCCGAGAAGAAACCTGCCGCTCGCGGAAAAAGAAAGGCGGCAGCTACAGAAGATGAGGAAGAGATAGATGACCCCATCAAAGATGATGGAGCTTTGGATGACACAGTTATTGTCGTTGACGAAGGAAAGAAAAAAGGAGGAAAGGCGCCAGCTAAACCAGCAAAGAAGGAACCTGCTAAGAGAGCAAGAGGGAGAAAGGCTGCTACAGAGGAGCCAGAGCCAGAGGAAGAGGAAGATGAAGAACAACCGGAGTTAATTCAAGAAGAGACCGCGGTTGGCACAACGAAGAGGGGTAAGAAGGCTGCTGCTGAACCTGCTGCTCCGGCGCCAGAAAAGAAGAAGCGCATGTCGAAGAAAGATAAGGAAGCTGCGGATAAAGAGACTGCAGAGGCCCAATTCTCACCGATGGAGCTCGATCCACCCTCTGGCAAAGAAACGGATAATAACCAGGAGCTAGAAGTCGCTCCGACTCCAACCGAAGTACATCGAACCGGGATGAGGAAAGGTAACGGCGGGAAAGGGGCTGTGATGAAGGGGAAGGGGAAAGGAACGAAGTCTGATCACGAGATTGATACTGAGGAGGATGATCTTTCACAAGTTCCGATGAAAGTAACAATCCCGATGGCACCCCCAGGGAGGGGTAATGGAAAGAGGCAAGCTTCCGCCGGAGATGAGAAAGCACTTAGAGATCTCCAAGAGGCATACGAAGAACTCCAAAGCAGATATGATAAACTTCAGGAGGCTAAGGAATCTGAACCTGAACGAGCTTTGAAAGAATTCCGGAAGAATATGAAGGAGAAAGATGAAGGTTTGCATATCTATCTCACATTTAGCCCAATTGCTTCAAAACACTAACAATGGCGTAAATAGAAAGAAATAAGGTCATCTCAAATCTACAAGATGAACTGAAAGCTCAGCAGGCGCTTTTCGGGGAATCAAGAGCTGTCCAGAAGAAACTCATTGCCAAGGAGGCGGAAGTTTCGAAATTGCAAGAAAAGGTTCAGGAATTGAGTAAAAGTCTCCATGATCAGCAGAATGAGAATCAAGTAATTTCAGCAAAGCTCGCGCAGGCTAAACATCAAATTGCGCACCCACAAACTCAGAAGAACAATGCACAAGCTCCCGGAAGCGCTGTTAAGCCCGGTTATCGAGGACCTTTGGGTGCTCCGAAGACCAATCTTAACATGGCGGCAGATGATGCTAAACTCAAGGAGGATCTGTATGCAGATCTTTGTGGTCTGATCATCGTCAATGTCAAAAAGGAAAATGACTGTAATGTTTTTGAATGTCTGCAGACGGGCGTTGACGGATGTATGTTCTCCTCACTGGTATCGTTGATCATGGCTAATTTGAATTAGTGGCTATCCATTTCAAGCTGTCAGTTCCGACCCAAAGCACAAAATCGAAAAAGGCTTCTAATCATGAAAGCAAAACTACCGGTGACATCGATGAGATTGACGACGACGAAGTCCTATTTATCCCGCTGATTGATCAAGTGAGAGACAAGTCCGTCATTGAAATATTGCCTACATATCTTCGTGGTGAAATCTCTTTCCAGAAAGACCACATGACCAAGTTTTACCAAAAGATCAACAGCTTGTTCATGATGAGTATTAGCACGCGAAAACCCCAATCGGATTCTACTGACGAGGAGAGTGACGACGAAGAGGAGGAGGAGGAGGAGGATGAGGATGAGGATGAGACTGAAGAAGACGAGGAAGACGGCGACGAGAAGATGGAAGAAGCAAAGTAGAATTAAATTTTGGAGCAGACTGCATAAAGTGACACTTGCTCTAGCGGGCGAGCTGGCCTTTTTTCTTTTTTTCCCTCAATGCGTGACGTCTTGGTACTCGCACCTTATTGCGAGCCTGAGCATTAACCCGGAATTTGGGATTACATATGTACATGTAATTATGCCTGTAATTAGTTAGTACATGTAGTTTAATTTCTCCATTTACCGCATCAACTCAATTGTATCATACATGCACAATACCCACATATACCTGGTAACTGTCTAACCGTACCTGCATATTTTCTGCGCACTTGTCCGGATTACAGATCCCACCTACGTAGTTACATATAATATACACCCCAATTGCAAAAAAATGTTTCCTCCGCTCAGTGAAAGGTACGTGTGCAGATGTTTCACGTCTAGAATATGTAGCAGGATGACTTCATCCCGGTGACTGGGTCTTTACAAATTTGTAGCCTGCATAAATTTCACGTTAGCCTATCATCATACGCCAGCTTTACGTGAGGCTTACACTTTAGTTTCCCACGCTTCCCAGAATGAGACTTGCAACTGTCTCGAATTTGTCCAATACAACTTCGTCATTGGTTACTGATTTATTTATGTATATACGTATGCAAACATCACAAAAGAATGGTTAGTACACACGCACAAAACGACGTATATGATGGTTACCATAGGGTTACGCAAATAAAATACGATGAGGACAACGGTCGCCATAGGTCTGCCCTAAGCTACGTGTTCAACTATTGGTTCCTATTTAATATCTTGGTGGGGGGGGCCGTTTCTTTTCTTCCTTCGTTATTCGCTTGTCCATTCAATATCCCCCGTCCGATATTCGCTTCTGCACATTTCTTCCAGAAATACCAAAAGTCTAGGATGCCACCACTCAGTTTCAAAGATAGTGCAGGAAAGACATGGGAAACCCGTTTTGAAGAGCAAGAAGCCCTGTCTACTATAAAAGCTATAGAGAAGGAACTCAATGAAGACAAGGAAACTACTATAGTTGTGTGTATCAATTATTACTCCAGACAACGGATATGAAGTCTTACGAGTATAAAATATATAGAAGGAAAAATATGAGAAGCCTATAGAGAAAATGAAAGGGACGAGGGTCGAGCGGTTGAAGAGGCGTGAGAAGAGAAATAAAAAACCGAAGAGAAAGCGACATCCGGCCTTCGGAGAGCATTTGCTGCCCGGCCCTTTGTTCGATGTAATCGGCGCCGGGAAAACCATCTACGACACCGCGACAAATTGGGGTAGTCGAGCTTGGTCGACAGTCGCTGCTTGGGCCCGTCCAGATCCACAACCGTATGCTGATACGGGATTTTACATGGATAACGAGTTCTCAAAATCTACTGAATCCGTGTCCTCCCAAGATTCCTGGTTTGACGACTCCTGGTCAATATCTGAAACTAGGACCCCCTCAGTTTTCGGTGAGTTTGAGGATGGCAACGTTGATTCGTCAGGCGATTCAGCAGAAGACGAGCCCAAATGGTGGAGACGAAAGGCCACCACTATTAATTCAGAGAACCCGATGCCTCTCAACTCTCCAAAGTCGTCTTTCTTTGTGATGACGGAGCCCCAGGAAGTACCGACAGATATGTATGGTACTCAGGAGACCCGTTTGGATCTGCTGAGCCCTAATCCGGCAAGGGACTTTACGAAGCCGGACTGTACCTGGGAATCGTTATTATTGGGCAAAGAGTACCAGCTCTACAAC